CAGAATTATTATCGTATTACTTATAATAATATGATAATTATTTTGAGACAAAGACAGTGAGAAATTAATCAATGTGCCCAAAATAAATGAATCAGACAGTATTGCGGTTGGAATTCAAGTAGATCACTTTAATACTTTGGCTCACATTTTTTTATTCAAGCTTGTCCCGGCCTTGCATGAGAGATAAAGTAGTACCTAAGATCTATTTGACCAATTTACTATAGAAGAAAAATCTTTTTAAAAGGAAATTACAAATGACCAATTTCCTTTTCGAGCTCCAGTAGCTTGTCGGGCTCAGGTGATTTTGATTCCGTAAAGTTTGAAGAAATTATTCATCATATAAACCATATTGGACATGGGATCAAACGACGGAAAGAGACCATATATAGGAAGTTGCAATTGAAACTTTCAGTCAACCCCAAATCTAGCTAGCCACCATGCATTGTCATTGGGCATGGCGGAATAACCTTTTTAATCAAGACAAATATTTCAATATTTTTCTAAAATAATAAGACTATTTCATTTTGATTATTAAGAAAATGACCAAAACCTCCCTCTTGCGTTCCCTTCAAAAATATTAATGCCGATCATAAGAAAGAGGATAAGGGAAAATTAATTTACGACATAAATTTATTTTTCTCGGGTTAGAAACTTGTAATTGATGTAAAAAAAAATAAAAATTATTCAGCAGTAGTTAGATTTGTTTCTCTACTCCGTCAATTCACATTTGGTTTTTTCATCTTTGATAGACTCCGATAAATATATAAGACTATTGTTATCAAAGAAATGGATATCGTAACGTCAAATAAAGTCATCTGAAAAGCACTCCAGTGATAATGACGTTTTTGTTACATACGTTAATCAATGAGCAGTATTGACCTTGTTTAATATCAAAGCATTCCGTAAACTTTATGTTAAATACACTAATCAATCATAATCATCTAATCTTGCACATTAATTTAATTACATGCCAAGTTTCGTGGAGCCATTGAATAATAGTTTTTCAATTAATTAATTAATTTGCTGCGCCATGCCGTGTCGAGATCAATGGGGGGCCTTTTTGGTCTTTTGGTTAACCCTTTATTAACCAACTAACCAACCCTAATTATAAAAATCAAACCTCTGAGAAAAAGGTAATCGTGACATTACTGTTTGTCTTAATCTTTGTCCGTTAGCGTCTTGCTTAAGATTAATTTAGACAGATATTACTATTTCTTGCTACAATATTAATTGCTACCTAACCCATACATAGATTAAATGATTATACGGGTTCCATTATTTAGATCCCAAATACATATATGAAATTAAACTATACTACTTGTTTGTCATTTTTGAAGAGTATGAATGGACCAAAAAATAATAATAATTCTATAGATCCAGAGAAGGAAAACCCGCATGGTTTTGTCCTGTTGGTAAAGGAATTAGCATCACATAATTAATCAATTGTTACTCTTGTACTTATTTACTAACCATACTTTTTGGTGTTATATACTTATATATGTTGGCTAACGATTCCTCCTTTATGGAGTTATACTGACTCTTTTTAAGGTTTGAGGCAAAAATAAAAGAAATTTTCGTCACGCACGATCTGAAAGTCAGTACGATGATTGACAAAATGCTACTAAAATTAGTGTATTAGTTCGGAAGTCATCAAAGAAAGGGAAATTAATTACTCAGCAAGCAATTATTATATTCTCGTACAAAAATAATTATGAATTGTATTCACCAATTCGTGAATTATTATTTTTTTAAAAAGAAAATTTACAACTATAAATCATACCTGCCGAACAGGCCCTCTATGTTATTAAAATGAGGAGAATAAGTAGAAAGGATAGTAAATAGTATGACTTACTGCAATGAATGACTGCATTATTCTCTCGCTTAAAATGAAGAAAATGGATGTAAGAGGAGGCTTTAAACCATGATTAAAATAATAGTTCGGTTTCAAGTTTTATTTTTATTAATATAAATTATATTAAAAATTTTTATGTATGTATATTCATTATGATACGAAGGGAATGATTTTCAATCATCTATCAATTTGAGCATCCTTTTTGTTTTTTCTATGTCTTCTGCCCACAGTATTGTATTTATATGTGATGAAAATTTGACCAAAGACATCAAAACCTAAATAACGAATAATAGCAATTTTAACAATCATATATATATATATACATAAAATAAAAATAAAAAGAGAAGAAGAAGAAAATGAGAGACGAAACTTCATCATTTTCCCCCTCCTTTCCAGTGAGTGACTACAAAATAATATCTACTCTAAAATTGGTGAAGAAGGGGGAAAGAAGAAGCACATACTCTGAGTAAGTGTCAGCAATCCTCGTGAAAACTGAGAACACAATAAGCGAGCGAAAACCAAAGTACACATTGTGAATATCTTCTTTCACCAACCAAACGTACCTACACAAAAGGACTGCTAAGAAAAGTAAAATCATTTTATTACAAAAATGGCTTTACGATAAGCTCTTTAGTCTTGCTAAGTTGTTGGTGACAATTACACAGAAATAGACAATTGATGAGTTTATTATCTCTCTCTCTCTGTCCTTCCTCCCCTCTCCTCCGATTCCCCCCTCCCATCATTTTTCCAGTTCATCATCACGGTTTGATTGAAGAGTTAGTTCGCAGGTCCATACTTTCGAATTTCCTCATTCATGCTCAAATTCACGTCACGGCTGTTACTAACAAAGGCTAGTACTTCGTTTGGATGTTTTTCATGAATCGAAGTTTTATTTTATTTTTTAAAAAATATGTAGCTTTTGATATTTTAAAACATTTGCATGTTTTGAGATATATTATATATACATATATAAGAGTTATGTTTTATTTATTCTTAATCCGAATAGTAAAAAGAATATTGTTGGGTAATTTTTCACGGTTGACCACCTTCAGAATTTGAAGAAATTATAGACGACCTGCTCCAAATTTGTAAAAATATATATTTGGATTGTTTGTTTAGTGTGTGTATTTAAATATTTTTTTCTATTAAAAATAAAAAATCTATTAAAAATGTAAAAAGACACCCAGCCAACACACAAAAAAAAATTATAGAAAGCGCTAGTGAAAACCCAACCGAAGAAGTTGCGGATCACTCTCAACCAGGTGCTTGTGATAATTGAAATCACCACATTTTTCCCGTAAAAAAAGTCCTTCTTGAGTTGTAAAATTATTATATAGTTTGATATTTACTTTCAGAACAATTTAAACTAAAGATGAAAATTCAAACTGAATAATAATTTCAGGACAGAACGGGAATGATTATTATAAATTCATTGAAACTGATGTAAGACGTTTGTTATTGTTTATGGTCCAAACAAAACTGATGTAATGTATCCTTGACTACCTAATTTTACACTAAAATTATTTCCATTTTTCATTAATAGAAATATTCTCCACCTTTCACATCTCAGTACCACCGCCTGTTTTAATTGGACAACTCACCGTGATTAAGGCTGAATTTGTGGTCAATTTTCACGCGTTATCATTGATGACCTCGTCGAAGGACTAATTACGAAGCATAATCCGAATTCATTTTCAACTTTAGAGGGCAATTCATAATTATTCCAAATATCAGAAGAAGAGGTTCCATTAATATTTAACCAAAAGATATGAATGCTGGATGGATGACTCAACTTGTTTGGATTTGACTTGATGGAGTACTACTGCTTGTACAAATTTCTGGGTCCTTTTTAAATTAACCCCATATTAACTATCAAAATCTAATGAATGCGCCGTATTAAAAACCTTACAATTGAAGAGGGTTTGGGCCATGCACCAATCATTAAGGTACAGAGCGCGGCTATTTCATGAGTTAAATTCATGAAAACTTCCCCAATTTTGTTGTACACTTGCACATTTGCTGTAAACCAATTTTGCTTATTGTACAAAAAAACACAACCAACAATTATGGAGAAAATCTTCTATACAACTGTTGTACCACGTATGATTATGCAACCAGACATATAAATAGGGTAAGATTGTAATTTTACCGGGAAAGTTAGCATAAAATTAGGGAAGCCATAATATTTTCCTGTATAATGGGTATGTTGCTGCACTAAAAAAAGAGGATACACTTGCTGTATGGAATAATTTTTCACAATTATGATATTGGAAAATTCCATAGCGTGTATCAAGTAGAATTAGACAAAGCTTATAATCTGCTTATAGTACAAAAATGAATTCCGTTGATTACGCCTTGACAATCCCAAACTTAGTCGAGCCAAGACTATAAATTTAACAATTAAGTCAACTCTTTTTTTGTTCTTTCCTAGCTTTGCTCACGATAATTTTGAACTGAACCGATCATAGTTACTACAACGTAGGACTTAGGAATACAATATTTCATCGGATTCTCCCACCCAATTTCACTTGCTTGTAAAATGATAAGAGTAATATATGTCTCCTCTGTTCTTTACAAATTGATCAATCAAATATTTGTCCTGTACATTACCAAAAACGCTATTTTTTTCCTTGTCTTTTTACACGCACACAAACAAGGTACTTACGAATCCATAAGATTTTTTGTCATTTTGTACCAATAAAAAACGTGGTATTTATTAGCAAAAAAACTAGATTTTATTATTATGCCAATGAATTTTACGACATTTGGATGAGTATTACAAAAAAATTACCTTTTTCACTGTCCAAATATAATAGTAATTTACATATTTTGCTTTAAAATTATTACAATTCATAAATTAAATTGTACACTTTTATTTGAAACGAGGCATAAATATATAATTAAACGAGTGAAGAAAAGATAAAATGGACAAATGAGACGTCTCTGGAGTAAAAAATAAAATGTAGGATTGAAAGTAATGCCATAATGACCTTTGATTACCATGTCTACGAAAAAAGCCTCTGATTCACCGTTAACTCGAGAATATTTCGATAAACTGGGTATTGTTTGCTTCAAATTTACGATATTAGTGAATTAATTTGGTCATAATGCATGTGCCGAATTAAAAGAGCTCAGTCAACAAGAAACTGTGAGAATAAAAAAGCTGTAATTAATTTAATTCATACTAAAACAACCATTAGTCATCATCTTATTAATTGCATTTACTGGTAGCTAGTAGCAGTAGTAGCTACCTAAAGGCGTTAATCTCCATAACAGAGAGCCAGTTGACAAGATGACAAAGCTTCATTAAAGACAACAAAAACTAAGGTTAATTAATATAATACCACTACCACCACTACTAATTGTTGAGGGAAAATGGACAAAAGGATTATTAAAAAAGAAGGGGAGGAAAAAGACTAACCACGTAAACAACAACATTAAAGATACTCCTAGTAGTTAAAACAAAACTCCCAAATTAAAATATTAATTTTTACATAAAAAAAAAGGATCTAACGGCCGTTAACAAGTGGACTAACGGCGGTTTCCTTGCAGGGACTTGGCGGCAGGCTACTCCTCCCCGTTGCAACAAGGCGTTGCACGAAGCCCGCGATCCTCTGGCCGTTAGTCTCCGTCAGTAACCGTTTCCCGCCAAACGGCAACGATTCCACCCCTCTGCCTTCCATCACTTCCGTTACTCCCCCGCCACTACTCATGTAACCGTTCCCCTGCGCGCATTTCCCAATGCTTCTTCGATCAGTTAAAAAAAGAAAAGAAACAAAAGATAACTGTAAAAGAGAGTAATTATCTAATCGATAAATAAATGGCTTTTATTTTATTTTTACCTGGATCCTGACGTAATCATTGCGGTTCCAGCAAAATGCGTTACCCAGCATTTGATCAACGGTTTCGGAGACGCCGTCAAGTGCAATGTCCACGATGGACGACACCGAGCATTCCCGGTTTGGGCTAAGCTTTAAATTCGCTGACGGAATACTTGACGGCAGGCCGTTATTCCCCAGTGATAAAAGGAGGAGGTCTTCCACACCGGTGACGGTGGGGAAATCCCGCTTGTTATGGAGGACGTGAGTGACGGCGGCGGCGGCGGGGTTGTTCATGACGAGGCCGCCGTCGATCGCCAAGCAAGAGGTCTTCCCGTCGACGGAGGTCAGGTTGAAAGGCTTGAACAATGACGGGTTCGCTGACGTGGCGCGGCAGACCTTCCAGAGCTCGAAGTCGAAGCTAGCCGACTCGGAAGCACCGGCGCGGGAGAAGACGAACGGAGCCGAGCTGTTGAGGTCGTAGCAAGGAACCAGGAGCGGCTTACACGTGTCCCTGAGGGTAACCACCTTCCCGTCTTCCCGCCGGAACGCCTCCTTCAACACCTTATCCGCACTGGTCCCGGAGCACCTTCTCCGACGACGGAAAACGCCGACGGTCTTCACCTTGAAAAGCTCCGACCGTTTCTCCTCGACAAACTTAACGGCTTCCCGGGCGGAGTACAGAGGGCGGCCGTAACCGTCGTCGGCGGCGAGCATTGCGGCGTAGAGAGCCCCAATGCCGGTGCCGGCGATGATGTCGAAGTAATCGGAAATGCGGGATTGTGAGTCGCCGGTTTTGGCACGGATCTGATCCTCGAGAAGGATCAAAGAGCAGCCGGCGACGGGCCCACCACCGCCGTCAATGCTGAGAATGCGGGTCTTTTTGCCGTCACAGTGATGCAGCCATTTCTGCTCAAGCTTGGAGAAGATCTCGAGAGTCACTTTACTCAGCTCCAAGTCCTCCATCTCCCTTTCTCTTAATCAGTTAATTGCGTTTTGTCTGCCTATTAGTTGACTGACTTCAAGATGGAAGCAAAAATGGTCGTTGATTCGGGGGAAAAAACTAAAAACTAAAAAAAAGGATGAGTTTTTTTTTTGGTTCCGGGAAAAAGGAGAAGCTAAAGGGAGTAGAGAGTAGAGTAGAGTAGGGAGAGTGAGAGAGAGGTAAGTTTAATTGGGAGAAGGGAAGGAATTGGAAGGCATAATAAGGGAAGAGGGAGCAAAATCCGTGAAACAGCGAAAGATCACGCAATGTTTGCCCACTGGCATTTATGGATGCTACAGCCAATGTGGGATTTATATTTATAACTCTTTCCTCCTCTGCTGTAACAAGAGAGAGTAGTAGTTCTAACACTTCTTCTTTCTCTCTGCTTTTGTTTTTTTTTTTTTAATTTTATTGAGAATTAAGACTGGGAAAAAGTGTTAAAAAATTACTACTCTACTAGAAGATGAGTGTGAAAGGAAGAGAAGACGTGAGCGGTTATTTTATACACCCGTTGTGGTTGAACTTCTTTTTACTGACACGAATGCTAGTATGTTACTCGCTTTTATTTATTTTTCCTTAAAAAATGTACCTAGGTCTGAATAAAGAGATCAATTTTGCATCTGATTATTTAGTTTCCTTCACAAAGAATTTTCCCTTTTGTTACTAGTGATTTAATGGGGGTAGCCCGGCCTAGGAACAATGTAATTAACTAGTTTGTAATACAATCCTGTGTTCAACGGAAAAAAAAAAGTACGTAAATGTCTAATGATTGTTCCTTTTAGAGAAAATTGGTTATATAGTCTGTTATTAAAAACTATACCGTCAGTTAGACATGATGTTATAAAAGTACCGTTATACGCGTAATATAATATTAGTATGATATTGTAAATATCGTGTCTTTAAAGACTAATAACAGTTACACATCCTAAATGTTTAACTATGTCACTCGACCTTTTCACCTGATTAGAAATTCTCATTCTTTATTGGGTTTCAGTTTCACCCCCTGGAACATCCCTCTTCCGGTCTTCCCACTTCAGCTACTATCGAGATAAATTGAGATGTTCCAGTGTTCCTAGTAAGCTGCGATTTAAGTTTTGACCCCTAAATTACTTCCCCTAAAAGTTTTGACCTTAATAATTAGGAGCAGTAGGAAGAGGTACAACAAAAACTAATGAACAAGGGTCACTGGTCAGTGAGAATGTGTTGCACTGCTACATATATAATTGAAAAAATGTTGGCTGTTACTAAATATTAATCAGAGTTAATACTTTTTTTTACTCAAAAGTGAAAATAACTTGTCGTAACAGTAATAATGTATTTACTCTTTTTTGACCAAATACGTCCTTTTGTGTGCAGGAAGTATTAGAGGCAGAATTATCCCCCGAAAGCAAAAAACGTCGCTCTTGTTGACTTTATTGGCGGAGATTCATCAGAGAGACTTTGATACTCTTTCGTGCTTTTTAATTAATTTTTATTATTTCGTGGGTACGAATATAATTAAATCTTTAAAATTTCCCCAAGGAGAAAACAGTAGAATTGGGATGCACGTGCGAGAGTGGTGGTTTGATCATCGGATTCTATGAAAGCGGTAACCTCGGCTTTTTGGCCGGGTTTCTTCAACCTTGGTTTCCTCATGCTTACACTGTAGTATATTCCACGTATTCTTCACAGTGGTATTAATTCTTCCCCGCTCCTATTTTACCATTTCTTTTATTTTCCTCTCATTAATTAGAATGTCATGGAACAGATATGATAAATTAAAAGAATGCATTTGAAAGAAATTCAAATTTGTATTCTTTTTTACCCATTTTATGATCCCATCACAGACCACCTGTTTTTGATTTTATGGTCAAACCATTCATTAATTAATTGAATTGAATTGTTGATCTAAAATTCATTCCTCCAAAATTTAATTTGGAGTCAGCTATTAACGTGGAAGGGCCTCACCAGTGTGAAAAATAGATTCATTGCATTCATCATATCCAGTTGCATTTTCAATATATAAAATGGTACTACATCCAGTTTAGTTTTTTATTGTACGGTCTTCTAATCAGAAGTAATAAAATACATGAAACTTTACCCTTCATCATGTTAGATTGTAATACCGAAGAATGTAAATCAGATTATATTTCTTCCATGCAGGTAAACTAAGCAATTTTCCAGATCAAATTTGAAACACCTACAGAATTTAAGTCATGATCGCACATCCGATAACATAAATTACGGTGAAATCCTAAACTTTCCGGCCACTAACGTTGAGATCTTTGCTGCAATTCAAAACCAACAATCTCATTATGAATTATGATACTGAAAGCAGTAAAAGAGCAGTGGTAATGCTACAAAAGGAATCCCGTCTGTCATTTTTATCAAACTTCACAAAACCTGCAACTATTTAAACTTAAACCATCTCTACAAAGGAAATGGTGCATCGTACTAAGAAACGACTTCCCTAAAATTGACCCTCCCCTTCTGATCCTAAAATGTAAATACGATAAAGCGCCTCAAAATTTTTTCTCCAACCTCCTTATCCTAAAGCGGCTATGCATATATAAAGATGAAGCATAGCTGCATTCTATACACGGATTTCACCGGATGACAGGTCCAATTCTTGTTTTCTCCATCTGAATATGGGTTGAAACAGTCTCAATATCAGGTTACAGGCCTTTTCCGGAGCACATAGAATTTGAAATCATAGATAAATCAACCAGAAAGAGCCTACGAACAAAACAGCTTTGATGTGCCTTTCATAGTAATTTCACGGTCGTATGTCATGTCTCTCGAGGTTTCTGATTTGCAAACTTCCCATACCTTGTCAAGACAGCATCCTCAGATAGTGTTTTCCATAACTGCAAAGGTCATGCACATATCAGATCATTATTGAATCACCCAAAAAGGAATATGAAACGTGTTTGTGCAAAGAAGAATGCCAAGACAGGAATTTGCCACTCACTTCCAACTTCCCTTTAGATCCACCAACAGCCAGCAGAAAGGGACAATCATCTGAAAATGAAACCGAGAACACAGCCCCCTGGAAAGAAGGAATTTATATAACATGTAATTGGTAGCGATTTTAGAATAAACATTATTTAAACCACACAACACACACTCAAAAAGGGGGAAAAAAAGGGTCAATTACATACTGCTTTGAGATTTTTTGAGGATACACATGATGGTTGATTATTGGACAAATCCCAGAGTTTTACCTGCACCAAAAAATGAGTCAAAGACTGAAATAATACATTACAAACTTTATGCACGATGTCAGATACAATGTAAACAATAGCAGAAGCATAGAAATCATACTGTTTTATCCATGGAACCCGTCGCAAGAAGCTACAAAAACCAAAAAAATTAAAGGCAACGTCAGTATAGAACATGGAATATCATAATTATAGTTTAGAAAGAGCGTTAAGGAGATAGATACATTGGGAACCAGTTGATTGTATGAAATAGAGCTGACTGCTTTATCGTGAGCATGTAGTGTGAAACTTGGCTTTGGGTCAGAAGATCTATTTGAACTAGAGGTGCGGATGTCAAAACAAGTGACCATACCATTCTCAAGAGAAACCTGAATTATCGAAAAGGAAAATGTGAAAACCAGTTATAAAGCCGCAGGAATACAAGTCATCTTTCTGGGAAGTGATGCGTGATTCAGGAAAAAAATATTGAAACAAGTCATGGTCAAGCATAACAAAACGTAAGCACAGACCGCAAATGAATGCTCCGCATGCGGATCCCATGCCAAACTTTCAACATCAGCAGCCACTGACCATTTAAATCCAGCATGTGAAGGTGACCTAGCATCCTTCTGCAATACATGATAAAATTAAGTTAGTGACCTCTGACAATATAGAATTGCTTGGAAAAAAACTTGATAGATTTGAGGAAGAAACCAAATAACCAAAGGATTATGGTTTCGCACCATAATAACAGAGTGATCAAAAGAGCCACTAAGAAGAACTTGTGGGGCAAAAGGATTCCATGCAACTGCTTGAACCTGATTACACATTCAAGCACAATTCAGATGCTATTGAAAACAGTTAATCAATCACCAGTACTGAAGCCCCCGGCATAAAGCACCCATTTGTATACCAAAAAAGTAAGAAAATAGAAACCTAAGTTTCCTGAATTCATTTAAATTTTTCTGCAAGCAAACTCATCACTTGCCTTATCTGTATGATGATCCAAAGTGTAGCTGCAGTTCCCAGTTACCACATCCCAAACCTTAACCAACTTGTCCGCACTCGCACTTGCAAGCACATTCCTGAAGAATAGTTGACGAGAAGATAATAAAAGGTTACGTACCTAAAAATGTCACAGCTACAAACGTATAAACATTTTAAGGAATTTGTAAGACCTGTATTCTTTGTTCCAAGCAAGTCCCAGAACTGAATCAGTGTGACTACCTTCCTTGAATATGACAGATTTTTTCTAGACAAAAGATAAAAAGTAAAGAAAATAAGATGGAAATATTTTCAACGAACTGATTCACATATGTGATGGGGAAAAACATAAGTGTTGAGTCAGAGGAGAATAGCTTCCATAAAACACTGCCTCGAAAAGGGGCAGCAGCATAGATCACAGAGAAACAAGTTAAAGGTCTGAAGTGAATACCTTCTTTCCCCCTTTCTTTTTCTTCTTCTTCTCAATGATCCCACCTAACACAGCTGATGGTTGAACTTCATCCATCTAATCAATCAAAGCATAAGAAGTTAAACCAAATCACCTTCTTAGTGATAAAATTATTCTAGTGATTTCAGAGCACAGTGCACATACAATATCAAGGTCCCATATCTCAATTGTCGGTTCCATTGAACCTACAGCGATGAAGTTACCTACAAACAGGAGAAGAAAATTAGAAGATGAGACGACTACTGCATTGTTTGTGAATAAAAAGCATAAAAGCAGCACACAAGCAACCACCAGCGTCACGACTAAACTAACATGCCCACATGAGTCGAAGGGGTACGAAAAAAATCTAAAGTTTTTCCTCTTTCTGCATTTCAATACCAACCAAAAAATTATCATTTCCCGTCAACGGATAACTACTTGGAATACAAAATCTGCTCATCAGTTCAAATATAACGAATGAGTTGTCTAAATCTCTCATCATGCCCCATGGTTATCAAATTACTGTATGCATAATTATCCAAAAGCTAAAGAGTTCCATGAAATCATGTAAAATAAACTGATAAACTTTTAATTTCGAGTCATCGACACCAGAACCCAAAAAAATAAAAAAGTACCATTAACTGCAAAAGATAACCATACCTTTCTCTCCTCCATTGAGGGGGCAATCCATCCATGCCAAGCATAAGGGAAATGCAGGTATTATTATATCGTGATGCACATAGGAGTTTGAATCAGCTCCTTCCGATCCTTCCACTATCCAAACCTATTTTAACATATTAAAATCAATTAATAGACTGTAATCATATCCTATATTCTGATTTCCCCTCTTCTCTAATCTACTGAACAGAGTGAACAAGTGTTTTCAAGCCCACAAGTATCAAACTAATAAATACATGCCTCCAGATGGCTGACATCATCCTCATTACGAGCACAGACTATGAGAGCATCTTCAGGGTTTATAGTCATATCTTCCTCCTCTTCAGAATCCTCATCCTGAACCAACAACACCAATGAACATATTCAATAGGAATGAAGATCACCAGAGAAAATATCTGGAAGAGATGCCAGTTTAAACAAAGGAACAAAAATTTACGAACAAACAAACTTACATTTCCTTGCAGATAGGGATCCATCTTATTATCAGGGTAGTATAAGCTCCGAATCCCCTCACCAAACAGCTCAACCCCTTGTAAATTGTAGATACATGTCACTTAAAATTAAATGGGCGAACTTGAAGAGAAAGAAAACACCATAGCCCAGACATTATGAAACACAACGTGCAAACCATGTCAATATAATTTACATGATTTCCAAACAAGGAACCAGATTTGCTGATTTGAAACCTCAAAAAAGAAGCAATAACATATTTAATATATGAAAACTACTGATGAAAAAGAAAAAAACATATAATAAACCAAGCACGGGGGATGTGGAGATACCATCATCTTCATTGTCATAATTATCCATGTCCAATTCCTCCATGCCCTTTATGATGCCACTGCCTAGTGCATCTGCCGCGGCAAGTGCTTGAGCAATTTCATCAATTTCGTCACGGGGTTTTGATGCATCAAGATCCATTTCCTCTTCATCGACATCAGCGTTTCCAACGTCATTTTCACTAAAATCAGCATTATCATTGTCATTTTCATCACCTTCCCTACAAAGAGCAAAAGTTTTAATAAAAAAGTGTATATAAACACTATCCAAATCAAATTTAGAGGTATAAACCCAAAAAAATGTCTTACGAGATATAAATACCAACGTCAGAAGGTACCCAAATTTCTAAGAACTTAAACAAACTACAGCAACTATAAATACCAGCGGCCAATCTACTATACAAAAAACAGCTGAATTTATACATAAAATAATAAAATAAAATAAAATAAAAATTGTTCCTCTGAAGTCTCTCGTTGGAGCAGCGAAAACATAAATTAACAAGATCATAATGTAAATTAACTTACTGAGTGTCAAGAAGTCCAGCCTTAGCCTTAATATTGTCAATCGCCTCTTTCGAAGGAGGGTCGGCGAATATTGGTTGTGGCTTTGCGGCACCTTTTGGCACCCATGAGATTGCTGATATCATTCTTTAGGCTCACAATCTATCAATAATCAGAAATTTAGAGAAATCGTTTAACCTTGGAATTGTTAATTTAACTATGAATGCACAAATATGAACAAATTTTACTTACAAAAATGAGGAGGAGGCGCGGCGAACTGGCGGTGAGTGGTGGTGGCGGGAGGGGTTAGACGAAGAAGGGTTTTAGGAGATGCTATAAATATATTTGGTGACCCTGAGTATGGGCTGAAACGGCGACGTTCGGTTTAAAAATGGATGGGAATTGCGAATTGCCTTTTTTGTTACTTATTACTCTTTGTTTTCACCGCTCCAAAGTTACCCTTCATTTCCCCAATCCCAAGCTATAAAGATCCAGAAAAACAATACAATTCCGACCCTAATAAAATTCCTTGCTGGGACAGCGGTGAAGAAGGATAGAGAGACTCGATAAAGGAGGGGAATTGGGTTGTCGGAAAATCAGTCCGTCCTTCAGTTTGTCAGAACGCCGGTAGATGATTCCAACAGCCAGAGAACCTCGGCAAGACGGTGGGAAACGCCGACCACTAATTAAGGATGAAGGTAGCGTTTGATTGGAATTCGGAACAAATGATCGCCGTCGCCGCTGTTGGGGGAATGATGGGGAAAGGTTGCAGAATGACTGGAAAAGAGCAAAAGCGGCCACCGAAATTAATCGACAGGGCAGTTTTTTTTCGGAAAAGCAGTGAAAACAGAAAAAGTAAATTCAAGCAACTCCCCTCAATTTTTAAGCCAAACGTCGTCGTTTACATCGTCAGACAGAGAAAAATAGTTTATATTGAATAGTTTATATTGAATTTTGAGAATGTGAGATTTCTGTGGGAGAAAAGATGTATAATTCATCTCATGCTAATAGCCTTGCATCATCTTGTCATAAGGCTTTGCACCAACACCCCGACACTACAATGCAGTAATGCATATCGCACCAACACCGCCTACACAGTCCAGTTACATTTGAGTTACTAGGTGATATACTAGCTTAATTATGCACTTCCTCTACCTCATTTAGCTAGGAAACTTTACTATAGTACATAAGCAAACCAAGTTTACAGCTTGCAGTGAATCAATGCGTGAGATTTATAGTTAGGAATTTAGGATCACGCCTCCAAGTTAAAATATAAAGCATGAGGCCAATATAGCTCGACACTGACTCTTTTATGTGAATTAAGTAAATCAAGTAATCCCTTTGAATGCTGAAAGGTCATAGAATCCGCGGGACTTGAGAAGTAGCGAGTACTCTGTTAAAGATTCTTAATTAGGGTGAGGTCTTTATTTCGGTTGAAGTTTGTCACGTACAATTTAATCATAATTTCTTGCACGATATGTAAATACAGTTCATGATTTATTTAAAAACGTCAATGTTATATCGGTCGGCTTAATTAAACATATTTGCTCGTATCGCGAACTAAATCGATAATCACCCTTTGTCGCACTTGATCTTAGGGAACTGTAACCGTTGAAGTTTCAGATACAGAAGACTAGAGATATATAGAAGTTGGGAGAGAATTGAAGGAGAAGAGATTTCATCTCCGGAATCTCCTTGAAATTCCATACATAAATTATACCCTAAATTGTACTCTCCCGTCTCAAAAAAATAGTCTAGATTGAGGTAATATTTCGGTTCAGGTTTAGAGCATGAGAAAAAAATTAATTAAATTTCATTATATTTAAAACTGTGCTGACTATGTATTCAAAATATAAAAAAAGAAGGGTCTCATCCAGAAAGCATATTCTTAGCCAATTGCAGAATTTTTCACTTTTTTGACAGGAAGGATTTTATCCGTTGACATTCCACATGAGAAATCCACAACGATATGGAAGCTGTAGACACCTTAAACCCACCAAATTAATCATAAAGCCTCTTTAAATCTAAAGGAATAGATTCTATTCGGGCATGGCCGTGGAGACTTGGAAAAATATCAAAATAGAGAGATCGATTGCCAAGTAAATTAGGGCATGTGTACATATATTTGTCAGACTCGAATCTCCCATTTTCCCTTTCTTCTAGCTATAAAAGGAGATCGACTTAATTTGTAGTTTCATGCACAAAGCAAAACAGCAAACCAAAGCGTTTGGTAAGCTATATGGAAGAGGGATCTTGCATGAAAGTTAAGATTTGTTTACTAGCCAAGGATGACTTGCCCCGTACTAGGATCAGGGTTTATAGTCTGGCTTTTGCAAAGCCAATATACTAGCCCTAACTAGTTTGGTTGCAATTAAGCTGGGTGAGTCATCCGCGGCTATAGTTAACAGTCTCTTCATCGTCATACAAGATCCTCTTTTCAAGTGTTTCTTCCTTCATCGATCTCCTTCCCCACAAACAAAAATTTAGAGACTACATAACGTAAACAAAAACAACACAAAACATCACAAAAATTTGCACGAGTAGAATAAGTCTCACTCACTACAAGCAATATAACGAAATTCATGAAAATAATCCAAGATTCAACCAAAACAGAAACTCCAAAGCAGTCTATTAAATTTATATAAAACGAAACTCTAACAGCTATCCTATACCCTAAAACAAACGAGTTAAGCATCTTAACGATTAACTACACATAAACAAACTAACCAAAATTTTTTTTTTTTTCTACCTTCTACCAAACCATTCCAAAAAGGGCACACAAAGCAGACAACACGATCAACCCCTTGGATGAGTAAATCAATGAAGAGTCGCTACTCTTCGGTGCTGGAGCCGGAGCTGATCCGCCAGGAGTCGTAGGTGTCGTGGCGGCTGGTGGGGCGGCAGCCGGTGGTTTGCCGACTGATGGGGCGGTGGCTGGTGGGGTGGCGACTGGTGGAGCGGCAGCTGGTGGGGCGGCGACTGGTGGGGAGGCGGCTGGACGGGAAGCAACTGGCGGGGAGACAGTAGGTGGTGCGGCGGCTGGTCTGGCGGCGACCGGTGGTGCGGCGGTTGGTCGGGACGCTGGCGGTGAATCATTTCCAGTCACTCTGATGTCAACCTTTTGGCCAGATTGACAGTGGTCAAAATAACTGCAAATGAAGTAGAAGTGTCCTTTCTTGTTAATTACGAAAGTATCATTGCCGGAGATATAGGATTGGTAAGCGTCGTAGCCATTGCATGCATTGTAGTTGGTGTGATTCACTCGTACCACGTTGTGAAATTGATTGTTGAACTGGAACACTGCCACAGAAAGAGAGAGGGGAAAAGAAAAAAAGAGACAAAAATTGAGTAATTATGATTACATATACTAAAAAGTTAATTTTTGGTTTCAGGATCAGAAAACATTTTCTATAGCGTTTTATCTCTGTAGAAGAAAAAAATCTCAAGCATGAAAAAAAAAAACGTGTGAGTTATATATTCAAAATTACCAAGAAAATCTGACTAGTAACGTTCCCTTAAATTGTTCCTATAAATTATCAGACAAAATCAATTTTGAAAGCAACTCCCTTTCCCAACCAAGTATACTTAAAAATTAATAGTAATTTAAATCACGTTTAAAATCTTTCTAATTGGCGTTTCCAACCAAGGCGGCATGCGGATCAATCTCTAGGCTTGCAAAGGAAAAATTCAATAACTTCAAACATTAACAATAAATAAGTTAATGTATTCATCTTTTGCGACTTATATAATTTCATTCAAAATAAAATTGTGAATTGCACCGAACCAACCCTCCCCGTAAAAAAAAAAGAAGAAAAAAAATTCATGACGAAAATATTGTTGACATAAAGACTCAAATTCTTTAACTAGGAGTGAGATTTACTCAACTGCATCAAACAAAACAATATAAAGAGTATATAATAATTTCACACATATTGATGGCTCAAATCGAAGTTAAATTATTTACCGATGGTGTCCCCAACTTTGAACTTCTTGGAGGAAGCCCACGCTTTGTAATCAACGTGACCAGTATTTGTCCAACCAGCGGAGTCACCAACGATGTAATCCGTAGCCTTTGACTCCTGGAAACCATTTACGAGCACCAAAAGAAACAACCCAACCACTTTCTTAGCCGAAACACCCATAGTTTCTCACAAAAACGATAGAGTAGAAAATTAGGGTTTCGAGGGAAGTATATACTGATGATTAAAAAACAAATGCGTAGCAAAAAATGACGATGGAGATCGATTCCCGGGAGAGGCCATATATAAGAAAATAATAGGATCTAAATTTGGAATACATATTAATTGAAGATTTGATCGAAAATATTCGCCAAAATTAATCTGTATGTAAGTAATTGTTGATTTTCTTAACCAAAATAAAAATAATAAAGTTCATATAAGGTGTGACAAATAAATTTACGATTCTATATTTAAGCAGAATTTTCATGGAAAGAAATTTGAGAGATTTCTTATCTTAGATAGACAAATATGGTATCTATTACAAAAAAACTTATCGTTTTGGGGTTTTCAATTTTGCCTAGTCCTTACAGCTGTTTGTTCAGTCGATCGGTAGGGAACGCCTATTACACAAACCATTGACATACGCAATATCGTTAATTGATCTTTGCCAAATTAATATTTCTTTTTTTGGTAAAACTGTTAATCATTGTATTACTCTCCAATCAATATATGAAACTGTACAATCTTCTATCTATTACATCTTCAAAAGTTTTGCACTTGAATACCAATCTTCTATCTATTACATCTTCAAATTAATATATGTTTTTTTTTAATTATTGTTTATATTTAAAAAAGTCAAAGAAGTAAAACCTAACTTTTAACATTAATAAAGACTACAAGATGCATTACATAGGTAATATATAACTTTGTGGACAGTTTGATAATAATCACTAAAAGCTTCCAAATCAGAAGTTACTAGCAAAATCAAATAATTGGTCAATGATAAAATTAGTACGTTTAACCTCTGGTACTACTATTAACTACTTCCAATTAAGTTCCAAGGGAGCAACCCACGTAACGTAACCATCACCATCCCCATGGATTAATTTGCTAGAGATGGTTGTTATTCTGCGCTTTCATGTCCTAAATTCCCATTATGTATAAATTTGTTTTTTTCTTTCGTTTATGAAAAAGCACTCAATATGTAACTTTTGCCACATTTATTATGGGCAAAAATCAAGTTCCACCAAAATTCACCGTTTTCAGTCATAAATAATGATGACGCATAATCGATATGCTGAATTGCTAATGTAAACTACCTGCCTCTGAGTTTGCAGTGATCTGGATCAAACCCGCAAATAAAGAAATAGTGACCCGGGTGCTTGATTGTGATGTTATCTTCCCCTGATGTATATGTTGCGATTGGGTTTTCTGTATTGCATGAATCGTACTCTGATATGCCACGAACTTGCACCAAATCATTGGAAAATCCCGGGTCATAGCTGAAATCTAGTATCCCAAAGGTAAAACACATCATCGACAAAAAAAAGAGTGACCATTTACGATCATTCGGCAGGAAAATACCATATATATATACTGTTTCTTTTTTAGAAAAAAAAAAAACAACTTAGATTATATCAAAAATATGTTGAGGTTGTTCTAAAAAACCAGTTATAGCACTTGACCATTTTTCCATCTTGAGCGACAAACGGTGAAGTATACTTACGGATACTGTCCCCGACTCCGATAGACCACCATTGATAATCGATGGATCTGCCGGAGTTCCAATTCTCACCAACCACATCTCCTCCCTCGTAATATGAATAATTCACGAAAACCACATAAATTGCCATTAGTACCATGAACAACATGAACGCCATTGCTTGATGACCAATTTCCTTGTCTTTCAAACATTGTTAAAAGGGATCAATTGGAGGGAATGATAATGATTATTTTACCTGTGGGGTGAGGTAGTTTAAAATTATCTCTTAATTTCTGTATGCAAAAAAAGCCCAAATGCATCGGAAAACAATATGTTGACCAAAACATTTTTTTTTTAACATTTCAACAACAAACATGAAGCATGACTCGATAACTACGACATGACCAATCTTGAGGCTAAGATTTTGTGGTTGAGGGTATAAATAGGTTTAATTATCACAAATTTCAAGTAATTGTCGGGAAAATGTTACTGCTAAGAAAAAATCGGCAGAGTGAGAATTAACGTCAAGTAAGATGTATCCGTTTGAGATTAATTATCTAATTGTTACTATATGAATGGAAAAAAAAAAGTCAATGTATCATTAATATCAATTTGAAGAATATGTTAAAAGTTCCTAACCCTGAGTTATTTAGATCACGTGAATCGGATTCGGTTCAAAATGAAACAAATAATTAGAACTGTATCAAGTTTTGTTTAACCAACTATATAAGCTAAGCATATTCTTGGATCAAATACGTTACAAAGTCACAGTTTATCAACATTGGAGACATCTAAACCACAGAAATTCATTGTATTTGTAACATTAATTCGTCATGATCCCGTCACGTTGTTACAACCAGAATTATCGTTAAATAAACCAGTAAATCCATTTGAGCTGCAGTTTGGAGTTTGGACTAATCTGCATTTTGACATCTTAGGACAAAAATATCAACCTTCTGCTTTCCAGGTCCGCAGTGACCTGGGAAACCACATATGAAGAAATGGTGACCAACATCGACGAGTTCAATTTTGTCATCCCCAGTTTTGTATGTTTTTTTCGGGTTCGTTGCGTTGCAGGAGTTGTAATCCGATTTAGAAACAAGCAACACATTATGATACTTCGGGTCATAGGAGAAATCTAGTCAACAGAAAAAAAAAAAAAAAAGATTAGAACATTACTGGCAGTACGTGATAAAAAACTTTGACGGTTAAATAAAAATTTAAACTAGACATTTGAAGAATTGAAAATTTAACAACTTTCAATAATAATTATCAGTTAAGCTGACGAGCTTACGAATAGTGTCACCAACTTCAAACCGTTGCGACATAGCCCACTTTTCATAATCAACGGAGCTGTTTTTCTTCCAGTTATGATCCGATACACCACCAAGCTCATAATCAGTACAACTAACGGTTGTCACAAAAACCACCATTAACAACAGGATGGAGGTTTTAGCTACCTCCATGACTAGCGAATTAGGAATATCTGATTTTTGATTAAGGATTTTTGAGATGGTGACAATGTCTCAACTCCCAAATTGCTATACACAAAACACTCTTTTTTTTTTCCCCTTTCGAGATATATGTTCTTATATTTTTGGTTGACAACCTTAAGATAGCTACGTGATGGCATCCTGAAGATTTCATTGATCAAAAAAAGTCAAAACATAATAAATGGAGCATATCACATGAATCGAACTTCATTCACGGAGTGGAAGGATAGACATTGATTTTAAAATCGGACTTCGGCTAAGGTTGAATCAATTCTTAATTAGTCATCAATTTTTGACGTGATAAACTGATTCGGGAAACCACCCAAGCGGCACCACTCACTATTATGATGATCTTCATTCCGTGTTGTTGATGGATTGATGGGTGAGCTCAAGGACAAAGTAAATAATGGTATATAACTGATTAAAAGTTGTGTTTTTATAGTTTTTTTTTTCTCATACAATGCTGGATGATTTCCAGCAAATTGATAATTATATTTTTAATTGCTCAAAAAACTAGTATTTTTCATCAACTTTATTACCGAGATTAGGAACCCAAGAACAAGATTGATGAAACTCAACTCAATGTTTATTATTATTCGTCGATATTAGTAAGATAAAAGTTTGAAAATGTATGATGAATATTTCACAAAAACAAAATTTGATGTTTTCAAAATTTTGTCCTTTTATGCATCAATATAAATAGTACTACCTCCGTCCCGTAATTATTATCTACTTTACCCAAAAAATTTTGTCCCAAAATTATTTCCAATTTGACTATTTATGGATCAAGTTACACATTTGTCCTTAGTAAAAAACATTATCCATAAAATCTTAGTGGTTAAACAATTACTTATGTAGGGGTATATCTGGTTGTTTAAAGTAAAATATAGTTAAGTTTGACAAAAAATAAAATCTTTCATTTTAGTAAAACTGGACAATAATTATGAGACGGAGGGAGGACAAACATCAAGATCAAGTACCTGATGACTAAGTGAGCAAACCTTAATTTTATGTTCAATTTTATTCGTCAGCTTAGACATTGAGTTAATCCTGACCCCTTTAAGTGGTTAAGTCATTGAACCTCAAATTCCTTTATTTTTGTTTGTTGACTTTGGCGTCGAGATGATAAACTAGACGCTCAAATCGACAATTCTCGATTTTTTCATTATTCGTGTTTGTTTAATTTGGCATCGATATAATTAATCCAACGCCCAAATCGACGGTTCTTAACTTTTGGTTTACTTGAATCGTCGACTTCTGTGTCAAGATAATAAACCCGACGCTAATGTCGACAAACAACAATTTTGGTATCGTAGTCGTTATCTCAACCTCTTAGGTCTTCTTGTTCGTTGACTTTGGCATCGAGATAGTTAGTTAGGTGACAAATTCGATGAACCTCAATTTTTAAGTTTAATCTTTTCGATATTGAGATTTAAAAAACTAACAACATATTAAGTTGATGATATGCTTTTTATTGCCTTTTTTTTGTTTGCCGATTCATGCATTAAAATAAAAGTTTTAGATATAACTACGTCGCAAAACTTGAATTTGTGTTTGAAAGTTTTCATCTAACGTCTATGTTGACTAAGCTAACGTTGATGTTTCTAATTGTTAGTCAGCTTAACTGCTTAAGTATCGACATAATAACCCGAGAACCAAGTCGACAAATTTAAATGAGTGAATTATACTCTTTCCGCCCAGATAATCAACCAAATGAAATGCTACTTTATATTTATTCTTCGATTTGGATATCAAGATAAGGAACCCGATGACCAAGTCGAAATCTCACTTTTATATTTGTTTTATTCGCTGACTTAGACATAAAGCCAATAAACCTCAATTTTTTATTTTTACTTTCTAATTTATTGTTTGTCGAATTTGGCATCAAGCTATTGACCCGACATGCATGTCGGAAAACCTCAGGTCTTGTTTGTATAATGGTTTGTTTTAGTTTTTGTGTTGAATTTAAGATGTGATTTAAAATGTAGTTTGAGAGTAAATTTAAAAAGTTGTTTGTATAGTATTTTAAATAAAATAATAATATTTTTACATCACCATCGGACCTCCTTCGCGCCTACCTCCGCCGTTGGACCGCCGACGGTCAATGACCGGTAAGTTGTAGATAAAAATTGTGTAAAAATAATGTTTGAAATAGATTTTAAAAAGTAAATTAAAAAGTTGTTTGGATAGTATTGAATTTTGTGTTTGAAAAGTATTTTAAGAGGTAAAATTAGACAAAAGATAAAATAAAATGTTGACCAAACAAGCCCTCAACTTTTTGCTTATTTTTGCTTCACTTTTTGTTTAGTTTGGTTGGTCGATATGAAAAACCCGATGCCAAAGTCGACTAAATTCGTTGTTTTTTGTTTAATGTTGTTTGCCGACATATTCGTCGACACATTGAACCCGATACTAAAGTCAACGAACCTTAATTCTTTGTTTAACTTTTGTTTGTTGTTTTATACGGAATCGAGATAGGAGCTAAATGACAAAGTAGACAAATGATTTTATTTTCCAACATCAGTATTGACACAAATAATCCATTTTAATTTTTATCCTTTTTCATCTAATAAGATTAAAAGCTTGATAATTAGGTAGTCAAAATTTAACTTGATGTTTAAGATTTTTCATCCACTTCTCTGTATTGAAATAAAATAATAAATCTGAGGGAAAATCAAGGTAACATTTAAAATTTTCTGCCATTTATATGCGTAGAGATAAAGAGCATGTGACTGACAATGCTTAGTATTGTTTATGTAATTAAGTAACGAGATAAACTGATTAAGATTCCGGTGACCAAGTCGATAAACTAAACTCTGAAGTCTAAACCCAAAATCCCTACGGTCGTTCTAGCGCTCAAATGTAAGAAAAGGTCCTTTTTGCAAAATACAAAAGCGCTGGACTGCGGTAACGCTTTCCGCGCAAAACACAAAAATCTTCTTGCCAGCGTTCTCTCGTTTTTCAGTCTTATCTTCACTATCATCAAAAACTACACTACCCGTTGAACACTGTCATCTTCAGTTCTGAAGCAAATCATCAAACACATTGTATCCAACACTTGCAATGGCGATGAATTTCTCCCCTTCAACTCCAGTGGGTTCCATCTATCAACAAAAACCTCACGTCTCTGCCAAAGCTCTTCTTTCCTTCCAGCCCCGAGGTTCGGTTTTCGACTTGTCTCACGATCGTTTTTCTGCTTTTTCAAGTAATATATTTCTGCTGGAATTGTTTTCGGTTTTCAACCTGTGTCGTTCAATCCTGTAGATTCTCCCATTTCACGGTGGAAAAATGCGTCCTGGGGCGCGGCTTCCAACTATGTCAAGCTTCAGGTTCGGGTTGTGCGGGGTTTTGCTGTTAGGTCCCCTGTCGTTAGGTCACAATCGAAGGATAAGTAAGTTTAATCTTTTCATTTATGATTCTATGAACTTGGACAATTTTCGCTTTGAAGTTCTCCGATTGAGTTTCTTAATGATTGCTAGAATTCAATTACTTAATGGTTGGCAAAATTCATTCTTAAGGTTTTAGTGACTCCTTTTCCCCTTGTTTTATGGGGCAAATGTTCTTCAGGCGAGGAGACATCAGGTGTGCAACCATTGAGGAAATAGAAGAGGAGAAATCTTTGATTGAAGAAGATGTTGTAAGTCATTTTGCTTCTTGCTTTTTTACTAATAATTGCGGGAGTTGTTTCTTGTGAAGGCCATTTTCACATAGTGGGAAAAAGGCTTGTTGGTGCTGTTGTTGCTCCTTGTTTTGAGGCTTGTGAGTGGTAATTGCTCAACAATTTTTCTTTGGCTGGAGGGAATTTGTTGATATGAGTTTTTTCTTCTCTTTTTTTTTTTTTTTTTTCCGTTCACCTAGAAAGAGAGAATGGACAAGACTATTGATTCTATCCGCTCGAATTTCAATTCGATCAGAACAGGGAGATCAAACCCTGCAATGCTTGATAAAATTGAGGTATCAATCTTTGTAATGCATGCCTCTCTGTTTTTTTTTTTCTATTTTTTTTAATTAACTGTTAATTTCACATACTTTTAAGTGTAACTTTTGAAATCAGTTTCTTCGGTTGGTTTTCAATGAATTACTCTGAAATTTGGTTCAGTTAAATTGCTACTGGAATTAGAATGATACTTTGTAATGTTTCCCCACTTCTCATTTGCAGGTGGAGTACTATGGAACACCAACAAGCCTGAAAAGCATTGCTCAAATCAGTACCCCTGATTCGAGTTCGCTACTGGTGAAACCCTATGACAAATCTGCGTAAGTTCCTCATTCATAGTTTAAAGAGCAGACAAGTATCTTTGGACCGTTGCAATGTACCCGAATGTGATCAATGTAGCAGAGTTATCGTTGGCTGTAGTGAAGAACATTGATGTGTTATATGCTTTCAGGTTGAAGTTAATTGAGAAGGCCATTGTCAACTCTGACCTCGGTATGACCCCAAACAATGATGGAGAGGTTATCAGATTGTCCATCCCGCAACTAACATCAGAGAGGAGAAAGGTATCATTTCCTTTCATGCTTTGTGAAATATTTGGTATGAAGATTTGCTTGTTTGAGTTTCAGATGTAAGTCAAGGACACAATGCTTTGTTTGTTATATGTTCTGTCATTTTGAATTGCTATCTGCTTTAACTACACTCTTGGTGGTTCTTAACTCTGCAAAAGAGGGTGTAGTGATTGCAAACACTTGTATTCTCGTCGCAGGACATCTTTTTTCATTCTAAATTACCTTTTCCTTTTTGATCTTGACAGGAATTATCGAAAATTGTGGCTAAACAGGCTGAGGAAGGGAAGGTATAATATATATTTATAATCAGCTATTAATAAAGTATGTCTTTGTTCACGGTCCATCGGTACATTTTTATGTTTGAGTTTTTAAGTACTTTTATGCAAAACTTTGCATATACTGTAGTCTTTGTTTTGCGTATTTTACAGCCTGGACATCTCCAGGCACATTTGATAACCCCCATTGTTATATTGGAAACTTGGATGAGTGAAGCATATTGGGTTTGGGCAAAGGTAACTCTTTCTGGAGAACTAATCCACTCCTCTTTGTAACTTTAGGTCGCAATAAGGAACATAAGAAGAGATGCCATCAAAGCTTATGAAAAACTTGAGAAGGTTTGTCACTTACCTCTCATGTACCGGAATAACCCTAACCAACCATTAAGTTGTCCTACTTTGTTATGCAGGAGAAAAAGCTTTCTGAAGACAATGTTAAAGATTTATCTAGTGATCTACAGGTATTCAATCAATGAAAGTTTCTATTTCCACCTGTACAAAAAGCATCTACCTATATTCACTATGGATAATTACTTCTCTTCCTGCAGAAAGTGACAGATGAGTACATGAAGAAGATAGATTCGCTCTTCAAGCAGAAGGAGAAGGTAACATTCCAAATCGAACTCCTTTCACATGTAATGATTTCAGAATCTTACAGGATCGAAACTGTGCAGTTCCAGTAACATGTTAAAGAAAGAAAATCGTAAAAACCTTGGGTGTAACTTGTAAGGTTGGGGGTCTGTTAAAGGTACAACATAAATGCGTAATACTAATGTGGCCTGCTCCTAAATGCCATTGATTGATGAGCATTACTTATTGGTGTTGATTCTTTTAACCAGAGGAAGAAAGTGAAAATCCATTGGCTTGGCTAATAACAGTTCTTGGCTAGTTGCTGAGTCAATTTACTGATTTATTCAAGATGATTTTTTTTTTCTTTTCCTGAAGCTGCTTTGTTCACTTTGTTGTCTTTGCTTTTTCCAGGAGTTGATCACAGTTTGATGTAAGTTATAGCTTACAGATAGTGAGAAAGTTTCCTTCTGCTGTGGCGACCATCAGAGTCTTTTGAGTTTTGAGTTCATTCTTCTTCCTATCCACTGACAGAATGCTTCGGTTTTGTAAATTGTTTCCAAATTAATACCGCATAGTGGCCACAAAATGACCTTCAAGTTGGTGTATAGCATGGTTCTAACTCTAATGTACTTCATACTTTCTGTTCATGAGCTACATATTGCCACTCAAATCATTTTTTGATCACATCAAGGTGAATTTCTTTCCACAAACCTTGACACTAGATGACTCTACAAGCGAAAGACTAAGACAATATAACAGTTATGTTCAAACAATTATTCAAAGCAACAATTTCTTTTCTGTTTTTCTATTTTTCTAAGCAGCTGTTTGGGTAACATGAGAACACATGGAGGACATACATACATAATAATGTTGAGACAGAAATTCCTTTGTTGCAGTCAAGATTTCTATGGTAGATACATAAAGAATCTACTTCTGGAGAAGCGATGCCAAATTCTGTTGAACATCTTCCTTAGCTTTCTGATCAAATGGCTCATCACCAATGTATAAATCAAGGATTGATCGACATAGCAGCTTGCTTTCGATGCTTCCTACCTCCTTTCCATCAACTGCATTACAAAAAATATACATTTCTCATTTGCAATAACCACAAAATGTTGTGACAAAGCCTCAAATTTATTGTTGTAGAAACCTCTATGTTACAAAATTCAAACATCCAAGTAATAATCATTCATGTTATGCATAACACAGCGTATGGTTATCAGCAGTACAATGTATATATGAACAAGTGTATTCTCTGCAGGATCCAGTTACTTAAAAAATAGCTACTGAGTAAGAAAGAAAAAAACCTGAGTGTAACTCTGGTTTTGCGGCCAAAAGATAACATAATAGAAATAAACAGAACCATTGGCAAAATTCTGCATTGAAGTGGTTTTATAAAGAGATGGTCATCTTACTTTTAGTGCGAAGAACGTATCCCTGGTCCCTTGAGAGGTCTATGATAGATCCACGAGGAATTTTGTATTCGTCTTTGAACTGGGAAGTAAACCTGCAATGATTGCATAACCAAGTACTTGAATAGCTACTTCACTAGTTCTCAACAATTAACAAAACAGAACAGAAGAGCCTCTCGAATACAAAAGTTTCATTTTCGTAGCAGAGCTGGAAATATTGGGTTACCTCTGAAGTAGTTCTTTGTGATCAGCTCCTCCTCCGAATTTCTTCAATCTGCTTCCAACTGAATCTTCAAATGCACTTCTTACAGACTTTATGCTTAACTTGCCATAAACAATCTGAAGTCTCACAGTCATGGATACATCACTTTCCATGAGATCCTCCCGTAGTTTTTTAATTTCTTTCAATTCCGAAACGGACAAGTTTCCATAATTCTCACTTAAAACTTTCTTTATGTCAGCATCATCAGCATAGACTCCTGCCAAGAAAAAAAAAATTAAAAAAAAATAAAATCCCGTTTTCAGGACCAATTTCCACAGAGAAATTAACCCGATGTAAAACAAGGGTGCAATTAAAAAAATTAATCGTTACCAAAAGCGTAGACATCAATGTTCTTCAAGCCCAAAATGCATTTTCTCCTCAACCCAACTCCAAGAAGTCGCTGGGAATCACTGAGCACAGAGGGAAATGACATTCCGGTCCGGGTCTCAGTCACCGGAGCAGCTGACCCATTATCCGAGAGTGAAATAGAACCCAACATTGGAGCCAAATTATTCCGATTGATCAAATTGGATAGCAGAGAATTGAATGGAGTCTGGAGAAAAGGATCAGTTGAGGCTTTACAGACAGCTACTCCGGCCGCAATTCCTGCAGCGCAGACCCAGGCAGCGGGGAAAGATCCGGAGGACGAGGCGGAGATGTTGGCGGTGGTTGCGTTGGGTGGTTGTGGGTTCGGGGGTTGGAAAAACGGGAACGGAAATCGCAGAGACACCATTTTTGTCACGCCGCAAGAGTTCTTCTTAAACACACACACACACACACACTGACACGCAATCACTTCACAGTTCACAATTTACAAGTGTCATGTTCGTTAGTATCAAGGAAGTTCTCTGCTAGCTCGCCGATCATCTTGTTCTGCGTTAATTTAGATTGGGCCTATTGTTCCTACATGGGCCTGGAAGAACGTGAAACCGTCCAGTAAAAACGAAGTGCTTTTTCTGATTATTGTTGGCCTTCTGAAAATGGACTCTTCCGTTTGTTCTAGGCAGATTTACTTCCCATTAGGCCCATGATATGATCAAATTTCATTTTGGAAATCAACACAAATATATTTAAAAAATGTCTAAATGAGAGAGTATGTTGTAACTTGTAAACATGAAATGGGTGTTAATCAGTATCCTCCCTCAGGGAATCGAATAATAAACTAACAATTAGGATATTACGTTTCCTATAAATAGATTCGAGTTCAATTTCTCCGTAGAGTTGTAAAGGGAGATTTTCTTAATTTATGTGAGATTCACTTGGATGGATTTTTTTTTAATTTAAAAAATACATCCTTCACTCTTTTTCATTTCTCTAAGTGTTTTGATATTCTTTTAATTCGTGCATGATTTCTGTAAGATAGTACTTGTTCGGCTAAAAACTCAAATGTATAGTTTCGTAAGGTAATGATGATGAGGTTGCATGTACTAGAAGACCATCCCAATCCTATTGATGAAAAAAATCTATGGATCTTATGGGTCAAATTAGTCCCTTGATTCAAAAGTTTTGTGACGAATATAGTTTTTTTTTTTTTTTTTACTTTTGAGTGTCAAATAAATTGTTTGGTACGATCAGAATTGTCTGTGTGTTTTTAGTGTAAATGCGATTTACATCGAGTGTCAAAGAAAAGATGCGGCAGAGACAACTTTACATTTCGCCAATGCCATTGAATTGACAATACCCCAATTTCAACCAAATGTCACATGAAACTTTCACAAAAGAAGCAAAGACAAAAGGGAAATGGAAGAAAAGCAAATTTGGAATCATGCAAAAATCACCTTCGCACTTTGTAGTTTTGTACGTTTCAGCCCACTCCACGCTGAAAATTACAAGTCTATTTCATTCCTATTGGGCCAAAGTTTGGAATTGGGTGTCATGTTTTGTCCAATTCAGATATCTAAAGTGAAATTGCTATCTTTTTTAATATCCAGTTTAATTATTTCTAGATTAGGAATTAGTGGGGGGAAAAAAAATCAAATATTCAAAACTTGCTTTTTGAACGTTCTATCGAATCAATCACTATGACATTTGCTATTCTGAACTTTCTACGAGGTACGGAACTTTCCAAACATTCAAAATCGAACATAACTTATACTCCCTCCGTATCATTGTCCAGTTTTACTAAAATGAAAGATTTTATTTTTTGTCAAACTTAACCATATTTTACCTTAAACAATCGGATATACCCCTATATAAGTAATTGTTTAACCATTAAGATTTTATGAATAATGTTTTTTACTAAGGACAAATGTGTAACTTGATCCATAAAAAGTCAAATTGGACAATAATTTTGGGACAAAATTTTTTAGGCAAAGTGGACAATAATTATGGGACGGAGGGAGTAATTTATAAATTGAGCTATAGTATACGAGCCCTTTCGCAGTTAAGCCAGCACAATCACTTATTTGTTAAGATTTTTTGATGATATTTTCAAAATATATAAATAATAACTGTCCCTTCCCAGCATACCTTTTTACATTTTCAATATACATTTTTATATTCTCAATACAAAAAACATCAAAAAACACACACTAAAAAAACGAAACAAACATACTATGTTCCTCTTTCTAATAAGTGTTAGTCTTAAAAATATAATAAATGAAAAAAATTACTTCTTGTGTTCTCTTGTATATTCTGAATCAATTGGCTCGAAGTAAGAAACTACATAAAATTTTTAAACACTTGTGTCTCCAATCAAAAATGTACTTTCTATGTCCTCAAAAAACTACTTCACTTTTTGTATTGTTTAAATTCACTATAACAAACTACTTTTCCCTGTTAAAAAAGGAGTATTATTATCATCTGACAACCATATGTAGTTTTTTAAAAAATAAACTTTGTTAAAAAGATAAAACACAAAAAGAGATATTATTGCTATCTTAAAAGTGTTAAAGTAGTTTTAATCTAGTTGGTTAGTTGGTTATTTCTATTTATATTTATCACGTAAATAAAAATTAGTTAGTTTACCATGATTATCATAATTTGTAAACTAAGCCTATAAAAAAGCATATAATGTATTTTATTCATTAAAGAAACAGAATTATAGTCTTTCACTTTTTCGTCTGTCTTTTTTTATTTTTAATCTCAATACCAATTTTCTTCTTGATATCAAAACAGGTTTCATCCTGCGGTTGATTTGTTTTTCATAATAATGGTATCATTTTCTATATCTTTTAACAATGAGAATTTTATCGCTTTCAAACTCACTCAAACAAACTATTCATTATAGCCACAATCAAATAACTCCATTCAAAAATTTCTCCACATTAGAATCAACCCAAAAATTGATCCATCCAAAAATTTTCTCCAAACAAAAATTCATTCACCCAAAAACTTCCCAACATCTGAATCAACCCAAAAATTTTGTTTACTGGCAAAATTCTGATCATCTTCCACTAGGGTAAATCAATGGTACTCTTTCAAAGGAATTTACTGGAGTTGTCATTGACAACTCACGTTATCTACGCAACGATGACAATATATCTATTGGATATCACATTCACAATTTAACAAAAAATATTGTGTCACATAATTTTACTGCAATTGATAACCTACTACAACACAGAATCTATTGTCTCCTCACAAGTCTGATTCAGATCCACAATATGAGACTTCACAACAAGCTCAGAATCAAGTTTCAAAAAATCCATCCAGTGTGTGAATTTTATTCTACAAAAAATTACGCCTTCAGCCCTCAATCTTTCAGTCCCGATTCAATTTGCAGAGAGTGTTAAAAGATAAAGCATAAAAAGAGATATTATTGTTAAATTAAAATAATTTTTGCAGGACCAGATGGATTTCTTTATCGAACATAAGGAAATGCAGTTTGTAAATTAACACAAAAAAACAGCACTAGAATAAACAAAAACTAATTATAAGAGGGAAAGAAATTAAACTCAAACAATAAATAGCTTAATCAAGTCCAAGTAAATAAGTGCTTGTTTGGACTTCAACTTACATTTCATTTTGCCACTTAAAAGTGGAAAGTGTTTCAAATTGAAAACTAAATGGGAAATAAAAATGTTGTTTGGATGTTGGTTTTGAAAAAAAAGTATTTCGAACTACATTTTGAAATATCAAGTACAAGTCATCACTAAACAATTAAATACTGTTAATTATAGTAACTGAAAAAATGAACTTTTCAAAAAACAATCACTCAACAACAGAATCCTGCTAAATTTGTCTCTGAACTATTTGTAGTTCTAAAATGGTCATTACATTAACAAAAAGTGTTTCAAGTTAGAATTTAAAATGTAAATCAGAAAATTGTTTGGATGATATTTTCTTTTCCATTGGGTTTTGTGTTTAAGAGGTAAAATGAGTGAAAATATAACATGGAAGGTTGTCCAAACAAGGCCATCATTGCAAATGTATGCGGGTTTCGAAGTGAATCATTGATAGTTTTGATACCGATAGAATAAAAACAAAACAAAGAACCGTAACAATGATTGGCAGATTGAGCAGCATAATTTTTATTACTTTTTCCAGTTTTAAATTTTTTTTTATAAAAAAATTCAACATCAAAGTTCTTTTACACATCAATCTGGTTTACTGAGTTAATTTCCACTTTAAGAAAGGCTCCATAATATACTTTCAAATTGTTGGTGGATCCCAGCTAAACAAACATTATCATTAGAGTAACTCAATAAATTATTCAAGTTGGTTTTGTCTATGTCGAAAGCTTCAAACAGTCTTAGAAAAACTAATTTGAAAAATGAAAATTGAGAACGGAAGAGCCATGACCGACATACATTGGCAGAAGATTATGTAGGCAGTAACTAAGGCCGGTAGAATAGAATTCGTACAAAGTACAAACTGCTATATATAGCATATATAGATATATGCTTTGATTCCGAAAGCATCTACTACAAAGTGACATTCAATGATTCCTTATCCATTTTACATTGTAATTAGTTGAAAATTAAAATGATGAGCTCCATGAATTTGTTTTTTCAACGATTTTTTTAAAGAATAATATAATAATAAATGTTTCATTCTAACTTTTTTTTTTTTTAACATTTCTTATATAGTTTTTTACATTTTCAATAGAAAAATATCTAAAAACACGCACTAAAAAAACGATCTAAACATAGTATGAATTTTACAAATAAATGCCGATCGAATTCTATACAGTAGCTGTTTAAGATGCCGAATTCTTCTTCTTCTTTTTTTCCCAGCTAAGGTAAGGTAATGTTAAGGAGCACTTTTAGAAAATATTTTTAGATTTGCTCTCTCCAAGGTAGAATTCTTGATTTTAGAAATTAGTCAGTACAGCAGATTATTCCCCGGTATGGTTTGGTAAACAATTTAATGACAAGCATATAAGATTATCAAACCTCTATACTTATAAGCAATAGTATACTATTATAGCTAGGTTTTACATCTTGTACTTCAGATCAGAGTTTTTGTTAAAAGAAACAAAAATGAAAAAGGGCATCGTTACAAGTCTAGATACCCCATGTGTAACAAAATTAATTAAACTGTTTTTCACTTTTTCGGGTTCTTTATACTTTCTTTCATTGGTTTTTTTTTTTTTCCCCCCTAGTCAAATTTACATCACCTGAAATCGAAATGTGGTTGTTTTTTTTTTTTTTTGTATGAAGGTGGGTTTAACTTTACCAACTCGAATCAGATCATAAAGATGCAAACCAGTCATTGTCATTGAAGCGGTTGAATTGAATGATTTAATTTTTTAGCGAACAATTAAACGATGATCGATTTGCTCATCTGAGTTGAAATTTAAGAAATTAACTTGAGAGGTCGTAGGTGGAAAAGTAAATATTTCAACGTTCTTTCATTGACCAAAACATATTACAATGTTTGTTGTCATTACAAAATAATACTCTATCTCTTCTAAAATTATTTTTCAGTTTGAATTTCTACTTTTAGTTCAATTGTACAATAATTCTGGGATGGAGGTAGTAATATGTATTCTAACAAATAAAACAATCTTTTTGCGATGGGATTTTCACTTACTATAATTAACGGAGATTATCTGTGGGATTGAACGTAGTAATCATTAACTGGTGTTTTCTTACTGTATTGTTGTGTGATGAGTGATTTATCTGTCAGTTCATTTCAACTTTTGATACACTGCTTTCACTAATTGAGTCATCATTATTTACATGGATTGATCAAAATGGTAGCTTTCAATAAAAATAATAATCATTATGATACAAAAAAGTAAAGTTTATAATTATTACCCAAATTGACTGATAACTCAACAAATATGATCGTGGCAATGTCAAAAGTCCACAAGCTTAAAAGTGTTTTTTGCCCCCGGAATGAAAGCTTAAAAGTTAACTTAATTATTACTATTAGGGTCCGTACGTAATTATTATCAGGGAATTACAAGATAAGACGGAATCATCTACATTAAATATAAATCCTATAAATCCTTAGTTAAATTATAGATCGATTCGTGAATCAATGTAAGACGATATAATTTTCAGTGAAATCTGATGTCTCATGTCTGAGTCAAGAATGATGGATGGTATCTTTAGTGTAATATAGAAAGGAGTCACCAAGTAAGGCTATTCGTTAAGGGAAATATATTTATTGCTTGCATGCGTTACAAATGTATTTTTTTGGATTGTTTCTACAAGATTTGTGACCACCACGTCGTAATGCAAATGATATATCTTTTTATTTCATCAACTAATATATATTCTGCAGTTTGTTAGCGATAAACAGGCGTTTCATCAGATAATTAAACTCTTGGTGAAAGGAAAATTCTAGTAATGCCACGATTTAGGCTTGTCACCATGATAACCACATTGACCACATTTGTTCTCTTTATTTAGTTTCAGTACGTTAAATGGATGAAAGAAATGAAACATATTTCACATAGTAGAAATGAACCCCACCAAATAAGTCTCATTCATATATACGTTCATTGCTACTTGGGGAATTCGAGAATCTCTATGAAGGGATTAGATACTTGAACTAATGTGTTTGTTATGTGAATCTAAATTTGTGAGCAATTTTATAGCCTTTGTAGTTGCTACTTTGTCTATCGGTGATGTATTGGTTCGACGATTTTCTATTCATGATTATAAAGTGTTCAGAATCCGATTTTTGTTGAAATTTATTTTATTTTATGTTGCAGATGAAATGTATTACTATTTTTATTGTATTAAGAAAAAAAAAAGATTATACGAGGAAACTCTATATATACTTACGGTAATATTCGGTAACTAAAATATCTAATCGATTCAGTAAACTGTTACCAACTTAAGGGGAGTATGATTGAACAGGTTCACTGGTCACATAATTTTCAATTACTAAATGAGAACTAAAACACAACGGCTGTCCATATATCCAGATTAAAATTTGGCTAAGAATGTAACGGATATCCCCCTTCATATATAGCATGAAATCTGTGGCAGATCCAAAAAGACAGCACGTTTTATTGACGAGATCGATCCTAATTCATGGCCAAAATGTTGGTAAACACTGAACTTGAATCATTAAGAAATATCTAGCGCTACTATACTACTTCCTTCTGTAACGATGTAACTCCACCAGACAATTAATTAAATTTAGAGTAGTGATGGATAAAAAAAATTGACAAGAAATGACTTGTCAATATCTAAAGTATGCCCTAACCTTAAATGCATAAGTCCTGTTTAAAAAGTTTTAACAATGGACGGGTGATATCATTTCCTTTTAATTTTTCCTTGTACTTATCATTATTCTTAAATTTATACCAAAAAAAAGAAAAAGAAAATTGGCGTTTCCAAAATGAAAAGGGAAAAAATAAAAATAATTTCAAAGAGATTGGATGATCCCATGCACCCAATCGCGGGAATCTCCTGGGAAGCCGTTTCTGTCTTCTTCCTCAGGCTCTCTCCCTTTTAAATGCTCAATCTTTTCAGCAATTTCTAACCTTTTTATTAATCTTATTAAACCCCCACTTTTTTTTCATTGATAAAAAGCCTTCCTTCCTTTCCAAACACCTCCTTAATTTCCCACCTCCACTAATTCTCTTCTCTTCAAAACAACATCTTTTTTCTGATTTTTCTCAATCACCAGAAACCGCCTTAGTCCGTCACTTTTTTTGGACTCCAAAAGAACCTCACTGATCCGGCCATGTCCGCAGCCACCTTGCTTCTCCCGTCCACCAGAATTGGTCGCCAAGACCATCACCACCACTTTGTTGTATCATCATTTCCTCCCGCGGCTTATAGGCCGTTTCATAGTGCTGTAACGCCCGGTAATAATTCGCACTACTTTTTTTTCTTTTTATTTTTTTTTATAATCCCTTTCTGAACTTGTTTTTAGGACGTTTTTAAATGTGAACTTGATGTTGGCTTGTTATGATCGTTCCTTGAACATGTATTTTTCGTTTCTCAAAAATGAAGATTTTGGTGATGATGATAGGGGATTGCCTCTGCTACATCTTTTCTTTTTCTGTGTCACTGTTTGTTTATTTGTTGTGGGAATGAATCGTCCAGAGTTTTGGAGGATTTACATGGCGTTCAGAGGTGGAGCCCTCCAAAAATGGTTGCTTCTTCTAAGCTTTTATATTTTTTTTTACTGGTGAATGGAGAAAAAAAAAAGTACAAGGATATGACATCAAATCCATGTATATATCCAGAGGAACGAAAAAAATAAAAAGAAGTTATGTAGATAGAAGGTTTCATTACCCAATAATATTATTTAACAGATGATTGATCGATCGATCCTTCTGCTTTTTTTTTTTTTTTTTTTGGAAACCGAAGAAGAAGCAGAAGAAGAAACAAACATCTTTTTATTTTTATTTTTTTCCAAAACCAAAAAAAAAAAAGTGCGCTAATTTTTGGTACACAATTCTGGTCTCGTCGTACATGATTAAAGGGTCCAATCCGTAGCCATTGAATCTGATTTATGCAACAGTTCTTGTAGGTACACGGCGGCAGGAACCGAGGCTTAATTGTAACTTTCGTCTTCAGTGTAGCATCCTATCCACTCCACTGACAAAAGGTGTGATTCATTTTGTTACTATTTTTACTCCGTCTCAAAATTATTATTCTGTTCCTTGAGGGAAAGAGAGTATTAAATGAAAATAAAAGTAACATATCCAAATTTTGTTTCGTTGGACATCATCATGCAGAGTTAAGCGAAATATCGTCACAGAATGGCATCCATGTTTTGGAGTGGCACGATCATCAGATTGTAGAAGATGCTGGCTCTACTGAAAGTGAAACTCTTAAGGTACCCTTAACTTTTAGCCTACAAAAGTTAAAATCCCACCTTTTTTTTTTTTTGGAGTAATTAATTGTTCCTTCTTGTACTTCCAAAATTAGAAGGAACTGAGCGTTGAAAGAAGGATTAAAGAGAGAGTGGAATGGATCCGGTCAATGCTGGAATCCATGGAGGATGGAGAGATCAGCATTTCTCCGTACGACACCGCATGGGTGGCACTAGTGGAAGACATCAACGGAAGTGGTGGGCCTCAGTTCCCGGCGGCCTTGGATTGGATTGCCCAAAATCAACTTCCCGACGGCTCCTGGAGTGACGGCAAAATCTTCGAGGCCCACGATCGTATTCTCAACACTTTAGGCTGCGTCATCGCACTAAAACACTGGAACATTCATTCTCATATGATCCGAAAAGGTGCTTCATTGTTACATTAATTTAATTATTTATTTATTTTTGTTTGGTTGATTAATGTGACTAATTTTTTTTTAAAAATTTAATTTCAGGGCTAATGTTTATAAGAGAAAACATTCAGAAGCTTGAAGAAGAGAATGCGGAGCATATGCCCATTGGGTTTGAAGTGGCATTTCCTTCATTGATAGAGATGGCTAGAAAGTTGAACATTGATATTCCAGATGATGCTCCCATCATTCAACAGATTTATGATCGAAGAAATCTAAAGCTAACCCGGTACGTATAATTTTACTCTAGCTAGCTTAGCTATATCAGATTTGATTCCTTTCTTTCTTCTTTTATTTCTACCCTCCCCCACCCCTCCACAATTATGGCCATGCATGATTGGACTCATTCATTTGCTAGCTTTCCCTTTATTGCCAAAGAATGGATCAAAAAAACCACACTAAAGCAAATTTATAGGGGACCCAAAAAAAATTGTTACTTAATTGTTACGTACGTGCCATGATCTTTGTACATTTGTTTAAATGAAATGATAGGATTCCAATGGACATATTGCACTCAGTGCCAACAACATTGCTTCATAGCCTGGAAGGGATGCCGGGACTTGATTGGCAAAGACTCATTTCATTGAAGTTTAAAGATGGTTCCTTTTTGTTCTCCCCATCCTCTACTGCCTACGCTTTTATGCAGACCAAAGACACTGATTGCCTCGCATATTTAACTAATATCGTCAAAAAGTTCAAGGGTGGAGGTATTACTCACTCACTCACTCAAAAGTCGAATAATTCAATTTCAAATTGCAATATATTTAATCAGAGAAAACATGACTATCATTCTGAAGCAAAAAAATTGTATATCTTTGAATTTATCTTTAATTAATCTCTACTTGTTATCGATGATCAGTTCCGAATGTCTACCCGGTGGACCTATTTGAACACATATGGGCTGTTGATCGACTGCAAAGGTTGGGTATTTCTCGGTATTTCCATTCGGAAATCAAGGATTGCGTCGACTATGTACATCGGTAAATATATTTAATTACATAATAGCTTATGATTCCAATTGCTACTACTAATTTATTTCATTTGCTAGTCGTTTGTGTTATTTTTTGTTCCAAAATTGGCCAACATGATAGATTGATTGATCATCTGGTTCTTACTTCTTATTGATGTTGACCGTTTTGTTTTTTGTTTTCGTTTTTTGGGTTGTCGATATTCAGATACTGGACTGACAAAGGTATTAGCTGGGCAAGAAATTCCCGAGTATATGACATTGATGACACAGCCATGGGTTTCAGAGTCTTAAGGTTGCATGGATACAACGTTTCTGCAGGTTAGGAATCCACACATCGAATTTAGTTAGTTGTGGTCCTAACATTCACATCAACATAACAACGATAAGTATAATTAGTGACTAATGTGACGTCTAAAAATTAATAATGAAAATAACTTTTATTACGTTACGTTGTAAATTGGTGTCTTTATTATTATTTTTGTTTAAGGAAATAATAAGGATGTATAGGACATCCGTAGATATTCTATTTTATTTTGCCAATTTCCTGTTTATGCCATTGATAATCAAAAAATAAATCCAAAACAAATTAATTGACAGATGTGTTCGAGAACTTTAAGAAGGGGGATGAATTCTTTTGCTTTGCCGGACAGTCAAACCAAGCAGTGACCGGAATGTTCAACCTGTACAGAGCTTCTCAGGTGATGTTTCCAAAGGAGAAGATTCTGGCCAATGCCAACAAATTCTCGTCGGAATTCTTACGTGATAAACGTGCGAAAAATGAGCTCCTCGATAAATGGATCATTACCAAAGATTTGCCTGGAGAGGTACGAAAATTTGTCATCATTAAAAGAAAAAATTTAATTTTGAATTAATTGTCTGGAGATTCTAAATGAGCACGTAAAGATAATTTTAATGACATATATTAGGCTTCGTTTTACTATTGTCACTATGGAAAATGATAAATATAGTGACTAATATACAGTGAAGATAAATAATGACTGAGTTGACCCCTTATTTTATTGTCACTTTGTCGTAGAAATTATATCTTTCCTTTAAAAATTACAATATTACTCTTAATTAATATAAGCATATCAATCATTATGAATTTTCACTATTTTTTTAAACTGGATGTATACATCATTGCTGTATTACTATTTATGCTGTAATAAATTAAGGCACTTGTTTAACTATTGTGAACCTACCACAGATAAACCACTGAAAAATATCGCATACTAATCTATCACAATTCACATATGAGAATATGGGAATTTGTCACTATATATATGAATGTTAATTACGTTCTGGTTAGTGGCAAATGAAGTGATCCTTTGATTCAAACTGCAATGTATTTATGATTTTGTGCAGGTAGGGTATGCACTAGACTTTCCATGGTATGCAAGCCTACCTCGGGTGGAGACAAGGATGTTCTTGGAGCAATATGGGGGCGAAGATGATGTTTGGATTGGCAAGACATTATACAGGTTAGTGACCACTATGATCACTAATTTTGTTCTTCTACCTATTTATTAACATTAATGCGAATGTCGCATCAACAAACATTTTTACCTGTTAATGAACCCTTTCGGGAGAAAGATTCTTATAATAGAACCTAACTAATCAATTTTAATTTTAAGAGTTTTTTTCCTGTATGGTCGAGACATCTGATATGTTTGCTAGCCTTTCGCATGCATGCACTCAAATAATAGCAATATCTAACTTTTATACTCTATTTTCAAAAAAAAGAAAAAAACTTTTATACTATGATGAATCTGTTTTAAAGAATACAAAAAAAATGTTAGATGCTACATTCTTCTAACATACCACAATATGTTAACTTACTTTGGAGATAAAAAAAAGTGGGAGCAATGGAGGTATGTATGTTTTGGGAAGATGCTGATTGTTAATGGAGTGCTGAATCAGAAGTATACTGCTTTTTATTGGTATTGTCGTATTTACACGCCAGTCAATCTTGAGTGTTGGCCGATTAATTCTTAGAAGAAAAAGGAGCATCTCTTGTATTAATAGCATGTACTCTTTCTGTTTTAAAATAATTAATCTGTTTATTATACATAATATACATAAAATTTTAATTTGATTTATCTAAAAATGATTGATCTGTCTAAAACGTTTTACCTATCACAATTTGTAAAAACAAAGTACTAATGGCCAAACTTGTTTATTATTATATGATGATACTGACAATTACTTAGAAGTGGCATTATACAATACGACAGATATACCTTTCTAATATGGAATAATTTAATCACATTGATTATGAAGATCAACATCATTATTAAGCTTCAAAAATTTGATGACAAAGTTGGAGAAACGGGATCATTGCTGATGCGGATACCCTTTGTTTTGGACTATATATTTAAAATTCTTTTGGAAAATTCGTTCAGAACCAATGCCCTAAAAGTTGGACAACTTTACTAATTATATATATATATATATTATTGTAATGTTGCTTATGGCTTTATGTGTTAATCACCAGTGGAGTTCCTTTTCTACTCTCATCTTTGTTGTCTTTTTTTCCCCAGCTTTATCCATGTGTTGGGAAATGGAATTCGTTTTTCATTTCTTTTCATTCTCTCTTTTGTTTCAAACCATATTGTGATTGTTTCCACATCCGTGCCAATTAGTAATTCATTATTTTTCTTAACTATAATAAAATAAATTCTTACATTAAGGTGAAAAAATATTAAATATTTTCCAGATACACAATAAAGTTTCCTTTACCTCACTGCTGTTCTAATTATTATTAATGGTGTTAATTGTGCAGGATGTCAAACGTAAATAATAATATTTACCTTGAGCTCGGTAAATTAGATTACAACAACTGCCAGGCATTGCATCAATTGGAGTGGGCAAGAATCCAAATGTAAGTAAATTATTAGCACTTAGAAAGCAACATGTTGTGGTTGGAATAGTTTACTCTCGAAATGTAATCATGTAAAAATTTAAGTATTTACTTTTTTTTTCTCGCGTCTTGAAAAAACAAACAACAACTTGATTTTGCCAAAAGATTCTTATATCACACTTTTTAAAGTTTGATGTAGTGATAGTACACATATTGCATATATATTCTACTATTCCCTCTATCTCAAAATTATTGTCCAGTTTGAGATTTCATTTTTAGTACAATTTGAACTAGAAATGAAAATACAAACTGGATAATAATTATGGAACGTAAGGAGTAATATTTTTTGTCAAAATTTTTGATTCGGTTACACAAAAAGTGATACGAATGATCAGTCTAGAGTCATTAAACCTTGATTAATTAGCAGATGAAAATTAACAAATGATTTTATGTTTGCGCATGTATATATGATCAGATGGTACAGGAATTCCGGCCTCGGGGAATTGGGATTGAGTGAAAGAAGCCTTCTTCTTGGATTCTATTTGGCAGCCGCAAGCATCTTTGAACCGGAAAGGTCTAAAGAGAGAATCGCTTGGGCCAAAACAACTGCATTAATCAATGCAACCAAAGCATATTTCAAAAACCACCAAATTTCTCCTGAAGACAAGACAACCTTTCTTCAACAAATGCAACTCTATGGGAAAAGCCCTACCTATATCAATGGAGGAAGGTAATCCAATCCCCTTCATTACCTATTTCCTAATCATTTAAGTCATATCCATCCGTGTCTTATTTGATATTCCGATAACTCTTGGTATGTGGTTATTAAACTTGGGGAATCATTTTCGCCACATTAACTCGTATCTAACTAGTAAAAAACGACGTAGATTTGACTTTAATCCCGTTCTCTTTTTTATTGGCATGCGACTCAATCTGGATATATAGGTACAAGCCAAAACAAAGACTTGTCCGAACACTGCTTGGGACGCTAAATCAGCTCAATCTGGATGCTGTCTTAACGCACGGTGGAGATATACTTCACTATTTACGTCAAGCAGTGAGTAATTCTATTCTAGTATTTCACGAAAAACTACTAGGAGATTCCACATTTCACATTTTTGAAAGATTATAAACAAATGCTTTCTGACTCCCTTCACTTGTCTTTTTGCCTACCTTAATTTCCTTTTTACTACTACTTTTGAGTCACTTTTTTTTTTTTTTAAAAAAATTTCTTCCCTAATTGTGACAATCAAACGCATGTGTAGTGGGAAAATTGGTTGCTGGAATTGCAAAATGAGGGAAGCGATCACATGGGAAAAGAATCTGAGCTGATAGTGGGTACACTAAATCTATGTGCCGCCCGCTACGAATCGTTGGATTTGTTAATGTCACATCCTAAATATCAACAGCTTTTGGATATTACCAATCGAATTTGTCTCCAAATTGGTCAATTCCAGTTCCAGCACCAAAAGGTTAGTGATATCACCGTTCTCTACTTGGTTTTGACAGTTTTGGCCGTCCGTATATTTCACCATTTCAAGTTGAACAATTCACCACCCAAATGCAAGAGGATTTTGACGTTTTGAGTATGATCTTTATATGCATAGTGACTCATAAAGATGCATATCCTCCATTCAATTAATGCGCCGAAACATAATAAGGACGCCACAAAAGTATCTTAGATTCTCTTCTTGTTTCTGGAAATGAATAACGAATCTGTTACTGTAAAAAATAACTATAATGCTTAATCGTTGTGAATATTTTCTCGATTCTTTAAACTTTAACGTTGACAGATCAATGCTTCGTTTATTAACATAATACTCATTCTTAATCAGGGTCGAGAAGGGCATGTCAATGGAACAGCAACAGCTAAAATCGGTGGGACCTCATCAAGCTCTTCGATAGATTCCGACATGCAAGTGTTAGTTGAACTAGTTCTGACCAATTCTCCAGGCGACCTTGACGCTGATACAAAGAACACATTCCTCACAGTGGCAAAGAGCTACTACTACACAGCCCACTGTAACCCACAAACCATCAATTCCCACATTGCGAAAGTACTGTTCGACAGAATGATTTGATAGACTCTCAACAAAGTCAACTCCAACATTTTACAATAGTGATCGATCCTTTTCTTTCACATCCCCAAAAAGAGGAAGCATTCTTATCATACTCAAAAGGAAAATCTCAGTACATAATGTACATAATCCAATAGGGGCCAGGGGAGGGGGACAACTTTAGGGGAAGCAAGAAACATCATTTTACAGGTTTAGAATTATGATCTGAACTCTTTGATGTGCAAACTATGGATGCCCACTTAAACGGGGATGATTTTTTTGTGGATAAGAATAATGATACGTTTTTTTGTTTTGTTCTTCAATATATATAGTTGGATACATTTCAGAAAGCATATTATGTCGTTCTTTGTTACGCATTTCGGACCCTATTGAAAGAATGATGTCCCCGTAATTGTAATATTTAGAGGTTGATAATGGCAGGCAAGGTCATGGAAAGAAAAGGTTCACATCTCGAGTGACAAGCTAATGTATACCAGCCAAATGCCTTAATAATGGTGATTCGGTTACCATTAGTGAAACTTGGCAATGCACACACCATAGAAGTACTAACTTTTTCCTATCTCAAAAGTGTTAATATGAACACAATAAAAACTCCCTCCGTCCCATAATTATTGTCCAGTTTGGATTTTCGTTTCTAGTTCAAATTGTACTAAAAGTGAAATCTCAAACTGAACCATAATTTTGGGACAAAGAGAGTACATTTTTATGAAACCAAATGTTGATGTACGTTGAGTATTCAGTTAACAACACGGGATAGGCTTGATGAATCGCTCTCTTGGCGATCAGTTCTAAAGAGGTGGATGTAGATATAGCTTAGACGATCAAATACGATGTTGAATTCCGTAGAGGATCAAATAACCACGTTTTCACTCCTATAACTTCATGATGACGTAACTAATGATTCTTGTAAGTAATAATACCTGCTAGTTCAGAATTTACTCTATTGATAAGAACATAGTAAATTCTAAAGTGACAATAGGGGTAGATCACCCACCAAATGTCATGGGTTCATTAGACTCATGGCCTCCTACTTTGTACTAAAAGAAAAAAGAATTTACTATGTCGGTAAAGTTCTCTGAGAAATTAATCAACTTCCTTGTATATACGGTTTCACCCCCATCTCCAATGCTGGCTCGCCGTTAATCAGGCCGGCGGATTGGTTATAGAGCCGGGTTTCAATCAATGATACATTTACTGTCACATTCAGTCTTTTTCAGAACAGCATTTCTTTCCGCAATAAGTTGAGGATGTTACTGTTACTGTAAGGCCCAATACTGTTTAAAAAGATACTGATTAAGGCTTCTACAAGTGTACAACCACTTAGCAGCAAAGGGTGAGAGCAGTAGGAAAGCAATCACGTGGTTCATTGTGAGTTCTGAATTTGGATAATGCAATTTACTGTGGCAACAAAAGAGAGAGGGATCAGGGCCAAAAAGGAAAAAAAAAGAAAAAAAGCTCAGAAAAGAAGATACACACAATTTGCAAGAAAAAGGCAAATCAAATGAACGGCACAGGTAATTTACACATTGTATACCAGTTATGGAAAAAAGAGGCCATAAGCTTTTACAACAAAGCCCCCAGCGGAAGCTGTTTTTTTCCGTTTTGTTTTTTTTTTTTTTTCTCAGTTCAATCAGAAGGGATGACCGATGAGCGCGACAGTGACACGTGAAGCTCAAAATCTCTGTCCAGAGATATGCATCACCAAGCGGCGGGCTTCACATCCATTAAGAGAAAGAGAGATATCAATATGGGGTAAAGCAGAAAAGGAGAAAGATACAATGATAATCACACATCCACAATCTAACATTCCGACTTTTTTGGCAGCCCATGATCCACCCAGTCCCCACTGTCCGAATTCTTAACCAATCTATATCTGATTGCATATATGAAAGTTACTCTCTCCAGTTTTACTCAGTGGAGAGAAGATATTTCCCAGTTTGCTTTTGTTAAGAAACCCCTGAGGCCTGACCCCCTATGTTGATAAGTACCAGCGCAACCTGTTATAGATTTGCCCCACTTTGGAAAACCTACACGATTAAAGACTAGCCGCCTATTAGAAACTTGAGAATCCAGGTCAAAATCAATCGTCTCTGAGTGAATAGGCCCAAGTGTATCTTTACATTAGCTAGCATTTGATCGTGTTGCACCCTCTCATGTGGGACAGAATTTGTAACACTACCAATGGTTCAATACTTTACAGTCGAAATAATTCCTGCATTAGTCGGTGACACCTAATAAACCAAAAGGATCGCAGAAATGACGGATCACTCAAAACTTCATGCACTAGCCATTCTGCAGGCTTTAAGTTAATTATATAAAGAGCTAAAGAGGGCCATAAGTTCTAAAACCATAGTCAGGCTTAGGCCACCTTTTTTCTGCATGGCAACAGATCATGGGCGACTAATAAGTAATAGTCACTCACCGCCCAACTATTACTAATTATAGTGAAAAACAGTAAAACACACAATATGCATCAAAGGTCCAAAGTTCACAATCCAGAAAACAATGGTGCGAATGTCAGGGTTCAAAGTTTTCAAACTGGTAACAATTGAGAACTGCTTCTTCAAACGTGCACAACTTCCATATATTGTGGCTATATGCCCTAACTAAAAACCAAGATAATTATCATGTCCTAAAACAAAACCATGCCAAAGCATCTCGTGTTCATCAAACGAAGTTTAAAATCTAGTCATACTCCAACTCATCTGGAGTTATAGGCCGTTTCAAGGGGATGATAGACTTCTTTTCTACATCTCGGGATAAAGCTTTTCTCATATCTGAAATTGAAAAAGCACAAACAAATTAGTGGTAATATCAACTTGGCGTAAAAACTCTATTAGGCACCTTATTTTAGATGGAATGGAAGTACCCACCTAAGCCATCCTCCTCCCCTGAGTAATAACGCAACACCCGTCTGTATATTACATAGCCAAGCTGCAGGTAGAAAAGAAGCACAGAATGATTAGAATCACAACTCCGCCGCAGTCTACTGGCTAAGCTTAAAGATGAACAAAACACTAAGACGACTTACCTTCTCATACATCTTTATGGCTGGTGTATTTGACGCTCTTACGAAAAGGTCCACAAAGTAACCCTTGTCTCTGCAACAAAAGGAGTTTAGCTCAATGAAACTTCTCAAAGAGACAGTTAAGTTGCCATATAGTTACACTGTGACTCTAGGATGGAGCTTTCTCATTTAAACATAATAAGTTACCTAATAACTGGACGAGCACAAGCAGCAGATTGATAAGCAATCACAAAATTGACAGATTTCAACCCTTATGCATTTAGATGTGAAACCAGATTTAAAGCTCAAATGCTGTTGAAAGGAGGAGACAAAGGAAAATCCATATGGACCTAAACTTGTTCCCGTTTACAACCAAGAATTCAGAACATAATGGAAGAAATAAGGAACATCGTAAATACCGGCAGATTTTGTAAAATTCAAATGAGGTAACAACCAATAGAGAAATATTTAAACGAGCTGTTACTTCTGTTAATGGACCAAGTTAAAAAGAAGCAACAAACCATCCAGAAGCTAAGTAGAAATGTAAATATGAAAGCTTAGCCATCAGGAAGGTACTTAATTTTTATTAGGATGTCAGTGATTGAAACTAAGAGCACCAAATTACCGAAACATTTCTTTAAACATTATCCAATGACATTTTCTTAAACTGTACATCATTCATGACACACAGTATGCCTATCATCAAACAGAATATAGTAACTGTGAAAACTCAGATCTAAAAAAATTCGAGAACAGGCCTATGTTTTAAGCAATACATCAAATCCAAATCAGTTTCTCCTCCATAGTCATTCTTCAAGAACCACCATCGATTTCAGCATGATAACTCACTTTCAGAGTAGAAAAATTCTATTTAGCATTCAAATGGCCACGGGAAACAATGATGATAATTGCATAAGGATTGATTAAGGAACATGGTATCGTCTTACATCTTATCACTAATCTCCTCCAATAAGTTCATAAGTTTCTTGGCCAATTGTTGCCTGCGATATTCAGGAGCCACAGTCACTGCTGTGACATGACCATGCCATGATTCGCCCTGACCTTCAACTTTCCCCATAACTGCAAGAAGTTCATAGTATCACACAGCACCGCCAATATACTTAGAGATAAGCAACACAAGTTGAAACTAAAAAACAGGCAGGAAAAAGAAAGGGAGAGAAAAACAACACATCAAGAGAACTCGTATTGACAAAAATGGTACCATGCCTAGGGAGCATAAAAAGTTCCAGCATAATCTGTATAGTACTCTTATTATTCTAAGAAAGAAATCATCATTAAATTGCCTCCCAGGGCCATATCAATCCTTCAAATTTTATACTTTCAGTAGACCTTTTCAACTGATCGCTCTACAGCTTTTGGATTCCATATATTTTAAGATTGAGATTCATATTAAAATAAAAGGTGCTGGAATCCATTTTCGGGTTCTCAATTTTCCTACATCCATAAACCCTTATTTGGTAGAAAAACAGTACAAAAACTTTCTTTTAAACAGACCAGCAACAAGCAATACCTAAGGTTTGTCTGAATTCTAGAATGAGCTCCATTTTTCCTTGTATTGTAACTAGTTTGTAGCCTTGTTTACAAAGCTTAGATATTAACAACTTCGGTTCAAATTTTTATCTTTTCCACGTTTGTTAAGCACTAAATTGCAGTAGATTTGATATACACTTAAAGAGCTTGATGAGGATACACAAAATAACCACATTTATTTTCAAATAATAAAACCTTTACTTACTTACAGTCATCCATTCCGCATCCTAAGTTCAAAATTAGACCTAAGTAGCATTCATTTTAGCCCAGCTAATAGCTTTCTCGAAAATTACGGAGAAGTAAGAGCAAAGTTTAAATTAATTCATTAGAAGAGTAAGCCGCTTTTCAAATCAGTTACCCTATCATCTAAGCCCAATAAGTTAAAAAAAACGGGAGCTTACTGTATCCCATGATTCGGTTCCCAGGAGCCTCTGCCACGTGAAAATAGTCCGGCCACCTTGCAAGGTACGTCATGTAGAACGACATGTTGAACTGAATCCAAATGCAAGTCAAAATTAATTCATGAAATTCAGACACACTGAAGCTCAATTGTTGGATAAAAACTTACGGTTTCAGTTAGATGGTCAAGATTCACGGAGGCGAAACGAAGTAAATCGTTGCAGCAAAATCTTCTGATTGTAGTCATCTCTGTTGGCTGTTTATTCTCTTTAATTTGCTCTCGCCGGTGTCGTCCGCCGGTGCACTGAATAGTTAAAATAAGGTCCGATTAGGGAAGGAAGAGAAATTGTTGTGATTTATTTACAGTTTTGAAAGGACCTCAATTGTAAGCCGGTTTATTTGCCCCTTTTAGGCTATTATAAAGAGACGACGCCGTATGGTGTAGTACCATAATAATTTAGTGAGTAAACTGGGTATTTCTAGACTTTTCCTTACCGCGCTGCCGTCCGTCGCGAAGGACAAAGAAGGGCGGCGCCGTTGTAAATCTAGGTTTTCCGTTGGGTATTAGCTGTATCCTTCGTCTTCATTGGTGTTGATTTTTGAGTTTAGAAGCTGATTTCGGGAAATCATGGACATACTGAAGCAAGAATTATTGAAGAAACGTCAAAGTTTAGCCGAAGAAACCGGAGGGAAGAAGTTCTTCAAGCGTTCCGAAATCGAACAGAAACGTCTTCAGAAATTACGGGAGGAAGAGAAGCGGGAAGCTGAGGCTAAAGCCCTTCGCCAGAAACAACTCAAGGAGCAGAGTGATGGCTCTAATTCAACCTCAAACTCCAAGTCCGATGCTTCCAAATCTAAAATTGAATCAGCTTCCTCGTCCTCCAAAACCCTAACGGATGAGCAGAAAATCGACGGGCTGAATCTGCCGAAACAGGAGGTTATCCGCCGACTCCGTTTTCTCAAACAGCCTATAACCCTCTTCGGGGAAGATGATGAGGCGCGGCTCGATCGGTTGAGGTTCGTGCTGAAAGCAGGTCTCTTTGAAGTTGATGATAGCGATATGACGGAGGGGCAGACCAACGATTTCCTGCGTGACATTGTGGAATTAAAGAAGCGTCAGAAGACGGGAATTATGAGTGATAGAAAAAGGAAGGCGAAGGAGGAAGCCAATGAGGATAAGGAAGGAAGTGGCGATGATGATGATTTGAGTGGGGATGGAGCTTCTTCTGGGGTAGACCATGATAAGGATTTGAAGAGGATGAAAACGAATTTCGAAGAGCTGTGCGAAGAGGATAAGATTCTGGTGTTTTTCAAGAAGTTGTTGAATGAGTGGAATCAGGAGCTTGATGAGATGACTGATGTTGAGAAGAGGACTGCTAAGGGGAAATCCATGGTTGCCACTTTTAAGCAGTGTGCTCGGTACTTGCATCCTTTGTTCAAGTTCTGCAGAAAGAAGGTATCTGTCACTCCTTTGCTTGTCTTGTTTATCTTTCCCTGACCATTGTACCTTGAATCCCTAGTTTTTATGGTGGTTCATGGGAATGGAGGAACTTTCTTCTTCTTTTAATTTGAAATGATTGCTCGTTGTAGCCTTTTGATGTTTAAGTGACGATAGGATTGCTTGTTTCTTCCCCAAGATTGAGGAAGACTGTGTGTTTAATTAGATTGTAGGAACAAATGCCCTACTTGGGACTTTGAAGGGAGATTAGTAAGCTTTTTTTGCGATCCTAGCTATTTAGGTGTAGTTTATGAAATTTTTTGTAATGCAGATCTACTGCTGATAGTCTTTATCCTTTATGGCTGTTATAAGCTATAAATTGTACTAGGAAGTGCACAAGCTGATGTGAATTTGCTTTCTTGATTACTTGTTGTCCTGATAGTATGACTACTTACATGCTTTGCATAGCTGGATCGTGACTCCTGGTAACTATTACTCTAGAGGAAATTGATTAGAAACTGTGTGATTGCCTCTACATAGTCTACGTTACCATTATTTATGTTGGTTGTGTTGATTTCTCCTTATCATGCTTCATTTGAGAAATTATGTTGAGTTACGAGTAAACTTGACAGCGCGTACTGAATGCTACGTTTTTGGTCCAAGTTTTTTTTAGTTATTTTGCCATTTGCTGCAGACACCCAAAAACTAATTTCACCGTTATGCCAAAACTCTCTCTTTTCTGTTTATGTCAATGCTCATCACTTCTTGGTTTTGTGGTTTTTTTTTTGGATTGGTCACAGAAAAGCAATGCTTGTTAATGGCATGTGGCCTTTTAATGGCATGCTTGTTTTATGTTTTATTGACACTGTTTTCCATGTGTCTGTTAGTGGTTATGGGTTCGTCCTGACACGGCTTTCTTTCATCTATTTATGGATATAGGTTCTTCCTGATGATATTCGACAAGCTTTGATGTTGGTTGTTGACTGCTGTATGAAGCGAGACTACTTAGCTGCAATGGATCACTACATTAAGATGGCTATTGGAAATGCACCCTGGCCTATTGGTGTTACTATGGTTGGTATCCATGAACGTTCAGCACGTGAGAAGATTTATACCAATAGTGTGGCCCATATTATGAATGATGAAACAACTCGCAAGTATTTGCAATCCGTTAAACGATTAATGACATTCTGTCAACGGCGATATCCCACAATGCCTTCCAAAGCTGTCGAGTTCAATAGTTTGGCGAATGGTAGTGATCTGCAGTCTCTTCTGGCTGAGGAAAGGTCATCATCTCATGGAAACCAAGCCCCAGAGGAACGGCTTCGATTGATGCCTGCTCCAAAGGAATAGCCTTAGGATCTTTTTGAACTTGCCAATTTCCATGTCAATGGCAAAATGTAACATTGTGTTAGTACACTTCTGTTAAACAGTATCATTTGTTCCATGGTTGACGTTCTTGTACTGTAACTGAGGTCTTCGGTAAAAGCATTTCACTTTTAACATTTGCAGAATGTCTGCTGTGGCTTTTCTTTGAATACTCATTCCCTCCCAAAATAATGATTTCATATTAACAAAAATGATACTCCTTACATTCTAAAATTATTGTCTAGTTTATCTTTCAATTTTAGTTACCAAAATTTTGGGACGGAGTCCTTAATTATTTAAGGACTGAAAGAGTAACTTTTCATGTATTTTACTGAATGATGACGCAGTATAAGGAAAAGAAAAAGAAAAAACGTTTTCATCCCCAGTACAAGGAAATGATGACGCAAACCTACTATGCACGTATAGTAATTCAGCCACGTGTCAAGTCAAGTCTCCCCCTCCGTACAAGATCGCCACTTCCAATATTACTACTGTACTTCAGTTACTACTCAAAAAGAAGTTACGTAGTTGACGCGCTCCAGCGCGTATGCATTCACGCTTTACTCCTCTTCTTCTCCCTCTGTCTCTTCCTTCTGCAGCTCTATTATTTCCATCACTCGATATGGATACTCTGCTTCTCCACTGCCAATCCATGGCCTCCCCGAAGCCTAAGCTCAAGCGCCCTTGTTGCTCCCCTTCTGTTCCTTCTCCGGAGCCAAACCCTGTCCCCAATTCTTATTCTTTTTCGATCGACGGCGATATGGATTCGCTGTTGGAATCAGTTTTAGCTGTGTCTGATTCCTCCAAAGTTGCTCTCAATCTCTCCTTCGACCGTCTTCTCGATTCTCGGTCTTGCGATTCCGAGAAGTCCGATATGATCGACCGCGCCCTCAAATTTGGATCCGTGCTTGTTGAAGCAGCTAAACGATCCACCAGAAAACGCTCTTTGATGCATAACGCCGTCGTTTGGGCCCTGCCTTCTGATCTCACCATCAAAGTAAAGTGTTTTATTCTTCAGTTCGAATTGATTTTATGTTTATCTTTTCAATAATTCGCTTGTCTTTACTTTTTTTTTATCGTCCTGTATTCGACATTTTCTAGCTTTTGGTTCCTTACTTTAATGACTTCCAGGAAATGATGTAAATTGCATCCTGACTGCATACAGCTTAATGAATGTTAGGCACTTATTAGTAGTTACCTGCAGGTTGAAGTAGGGTCCTGTTTTGGGTTTTTCTAGTTCCATTTGGGTTTGTGTATGTATCTTGGTTACGCTTGCTATTTCAGATACTTTGAGCTAGAGGTCTTTTTTTTTTTTTACCCGCGTTTAATCATATGTATCAATGATGATGATGATTTGGAAAAGTTCTACCTTCGGGTTGCGCCTTAATATGTTTCGTTTGTTGTTATATGCTCCTGCAGGTTTTTTCTTTGCTTGATACACAAAGCTTATGCTATGCTGCAGCTACATGCTCTTTTTTTCGCAAGTGCGCCGTGGATCCCACGTGCTATAACCATATTGACTTGACCTCTGTTACCCCAAAGATCAATAATGCTGTAGTTTCAACCATGATTCAAAGAGCTGGAAGATGTCTTAAGTATGTGATCACGATTTATCAATCTTGCCTGTATTTTTGCTGTCTTTTATAATAGCTGTCCTTGGCTCCTTTCCTGTTCATTAGTTAAAAAGAATGCAACACCTGAATAAGAGTACAGTATTGTCGAGATCACATTTAATCCACATGTATCCTGGCTGGATGTCTATATGGTTTCTGCTGCATTTTTTATTCAAGTTGGGCAACATCTTGGCTACTTGATGATTTGCACACATATATTCAATTTCTTTCTGCAGATCTCTTAAACTTGGCCTTGTTCCTGGCCCAATTGCATGTGCTGGATCTTCTGAAGTGTTGGTTTATTCCATAAGGAGTTCCAGTGATGGTTCTGGGATCTCATGGAATGATAAGAGGTCAAGACAGGGGAAAGAGTCATCTATTCTCACCAGATCTTGTTTGGCGGTCCTAAATAGTAATGGTGGCTTTCCAGGGTATTGTGTAATCTTAATACTTTAAACTTTGAATGAGAAAGTGTTTCTGCTACATTCTGTATTTTTACTCTCTCTCTCTCTCTCTCTCTCTCTCTCCAGGGGACTTTTGAAGAGATTGCACCTTTACAATATTGAAAGAATGGACAACACAGCTCTTTGTTCAGCATTATCTGCTTGTCCATCATTGCATGATTTGGAAATTGTTGGACTGTAAGTTTCACTGGACCTATTTATGTTTCTTGTTGCTCGTTGATGGCTTTGACAGGTTTTAACTTTATGACACGTGATGCATGCAAGATGAATATTTCTTCCTGTTTTGTCCAGTTAGTGACACTTGTTTTTGCTGTAAATAGTCATGTGGAGCTTAGGCAGACGCTAGAGTCAGTGAGCCAATATTGTCCTCTCGTAGAGCATCTGTTTTTTGAATCCACAAAAACTGGTAAATTCTGTTCTACCTGATCTTTTCTTTTTGCTTGATCAAAGGCATGGTTTCTTTACATCATTTTTCTGATGTTCAGGAAGAGATGACAGCTTAAAATTGCCAACATGCAATGATCTTGTCAACAACTGTCCTAATATGTCTTCTTTGGCACTTCGGGGGTTTAAGCTACACGACTACAAAGCTCGTGTCCTTGTCAAGGTAGGTTTTATCACAATATCAATCTCAATGTCCCATTCATTATTTTGTTGTTTTTCTTATGATGTCTGCTAATGTGTAAAGTGAAGAGTTTTGCGGAAAACAGGCTCTTTGTTACCTGAGAAATTTTTTTAGTGTAGGTTTATTAAGCTGTTAATGGGTTCAGATCATTACTTACTTCAGCTATTGTCAATTATGTGCAACTTTGGATTGCGTGCAACTATTTTTTCCTTGGCTCAACATGACATGACAGTTTATCTTCAGTTTTTTCAGATAATATGCATGAAGATACCACTAAACTTATTTTTTGGTTCCATTTTTCTGTTGAGATGAGAAATCCTGGGGAATGACATAGCTCCGAACTTATTTTTACCCTTTTTATTTTTTTTTTATCTGAAAAGTTTTATGTCCGTCCAACTAGATTACCGGAACTATTTTTGTGGCATGCCTGATTCTTGATAAACTCATCTATGGTGTGTGAGAAAGATGTATCCCTGTCATGGTATGTAGAGAAAGCACGGGCTTATGTGTTTTGGTGTTTAATGCAGGGTTTTCGTAAGCTGAAGTATGTTGACTTTTCAACGTCCTATTCTATGAGTGGCTCATTTCTCAAGTATGTATCTCTGATCTATAACTCCAGCCAGAGTAAATTAAGTTGGGGTTTGGAGTAATTTTATTTGTCCTGTTTTCTTTAGGAATCTTGGTGGCACTGCTGGTGGGAGCCAGCTCGAAGTTTTGCTTCTGCGTGATTGTATCCATTTGAAAGAAGTGAGACTGCTTATCTTCTACTATCTCCCTCTCTTGTTTCCCTTCTCTCTCTTATATATGATGCTGCAGGTAGAAGTTGCTCGGTTCATATCGGCCATTCTTGCTGGGGACTTTAAGCATTTAAAACATCTTGTGAGTTTAAATACCATCTTCTTTGTTGTAATTATTAAAATGCTGTATCTCCCTTCCATTAGTTCCCATTCTCTGATCTTCGTCAATTCTAGTGGCTTGCCTTTCCCATTGAATAGTCAATGTGTTAATGTGTAATGATACAGGATATCTCCAATAGGGAAGGTTTAGCATCTGAAGGTGACTGGTACAGACGATGTTGTAGCACCAGGTTATACAAACTGCTGCTTGTTATGCAGATATAGCTCTCTACGTATTTCATGTCTCTTGTTATGACTTTATTTTGTGGATGCAGCTTCATTCCCTTGGAGCAACTGTTTGCAGCGAGACCTAAGTTACGGCTTGTAGCGGAGTTTCCTGCTGATGGAAGGTTGGTTTACGTTCTGTTCTATTCTGATAAAGAGACTACAACATGATAAAGTGACTACAACATGGATGCCAACATTTTCGTTGACCTTTTTGTCTTGTGCAGTTATATTGGAGATGAAATAATGATCAATGTCCTCAGTGATGATACTACTAGTTCATTGTCTGCGCCAAGCAGCCATTCATCTGATGTTTCTGTCGGTATATCAGATAGCAGCTATAGTAGTGATCAAAGTAGTGGCAATGAAGAGAGTCAAGATACCAGTTTTCTGATTTATGAGGGAAGTTCTGACGAACTAGATTTTGGGCTTGGCTAAGAGAGAACTTCCAAATTGGCCTATGTCATCTCTCAGATGTATTCAGGTACTTCCACTTGGTAATTTCTCTAGTCATTTCACAATCTGGTATAGGATATCTCTTTGGTTATCTCAGAGTCTCCTTATCCAGGACCAATGGGAAGGAATGGCCTGCTGACCTTTTGGTGGAAGATGGGACTCTGTTAATGAAGACTGGTATTTTTTTCTGGCCTTTTCAGCGTTGATGGAAGCAAAAGTTTCCAGAACAATAATGAGAGCCGTATCATGGCCGAAAGCATTATTTATCTTCTATAAGTCGAATCCGATAAGTCGGTAGCAGTGCCATTGCTGTCTCGATTCTGTAGTATATGAGTATTGGCAAGAATTTGTAGCGGAGAAAGCAGTAGATACTTGAGGCAGAGAGTAGATTATGTGTGCAAGTCTAGAGTGCTGGATCTCCATTACAAGTTTACAACCAATCAAAATGCCTCTTTTCCCCTTTCTGAATCAAATGCCACTGATGATTTCAGGGTTTTCTCAAATAATAGTAACTCAAGTTTAGCAAAATACTTTTCTGAAAAATATGTAATGCTATGGCAATTTGGAGATCAAAACAGGGATGAAATCAAAGAGATGGGGTAGAAAATTAGGGTTCTTCGCAAAGAGAATTTGGGGATCTGAAACTTTCAGTCCTTTAAATCAAAACCATAACTATTCCATCATAATAATTTCGCCTCAACTAAGACTATATATTGTCCGGTAGTTCGCATATTTACATATCAGCTCCTAAACTATTAATTTAAAGTAATTGAGGCTAATATACTGACAGTCCATGACAAATCCCCCCACTAAAAATAGTGTAGTCCCCAACATTGTCTTTATAAGGTTACAACTCTGAACTGGGAAATTAAAGCTGGCAAAACGCCTTTTTACTACACAGCCACTACTCAAAACATTTTGCAAATAAAGCAAAACTAAATAGCAAAACTCTATATAGAGAGAACTAATAACTTATCAAACAGACTGGGAGAAGCCTCATTTCAACAAATTTAAGATGGCAGCAACAGGTATCTTGAAATCTGCTAAATTAAAGCATCAACCACCATGGGGCAAATCACTCAGATCAATCATTTCGCCATTAATGGTCTACAACACATTTTCATAAACGTTTACCTTTGTCGTTTTTTCATAGAGCATCACATTTACCTGCCCAAACTTGTAAATGTGTCCAGGCTTGAAGTACTCACCACACCGATAGTACAAATGGTTGTTGGCTCGGTACTGAAACTCTTGGGGTGACATTTTTTTAACATATCTATTACCAGGGCCTTTATAACCATTCATTTTGATACCATTTCCCCCTTTAGTTCCTAACGTACTCTCCATGTCCTCTTTACCTTTAAAAAACTTGTCAGTAGAGCCACCAGGGAGTGATTTATCATTGTTTCCCACCGGGGATTCACTGCCACCCTTCACACTGTCACGGACAGTTTTTTTTCCCCACGAATTCGGGTGGTTTGTTGCGAAACGGGCTATTTTTGTAGACGGACATGGAACGGAACGGTCTAGAACCTTGTGGAATTCTCCGGTCAAATCTTAAAGATTCTGAAATTCTCTAGAACCAACCGGACATTGCTGGAAACGTGGGGAAGCTTCCCGAGTTTTCTAGGGATGACCGGGAACGAGCTGGAGGTTTCTAGGAACTTATGGAATTCTATGGAATTCCACACTTAGAATATTTTATGGTAGGAATTCTCTAGAATTCCATTATTCTATTATGTATATAGAATTCTCTAGAATTCTTTGGGACTTGGGGTTTGCCTATAAATACCCCATGCCCCCTTCATTTGTAAACCATCCAAGCTTTGAGTAGAGTTCTCAAGCATTCCTTAAGCTCTCTTGTGCCTTCATCGTTCTTTCACTTTCAACCTTTCTTAAATTTTTCTTTGCCTACGTTCTTTAAAGCATTGCCTAGCTTTGCACGTTTTAGGGGTCTTAAGGCTGAGCTAGCACTTGATCATTAGTTGTTTTGTGCTAGTGCCGCACGGCCGTTACTTTGAAAAAGTAAGCCCGTGACAATACTACCCGGAGAACTAAGGGGTGAGTCACTCTGCCCCGAATCCTGCCAATCCTTACTATCAGTGAAAGACAGAGATTGCTCTTGATAGAGTGTAATTTCAAAAGCATTGGCAACATTTTTAGACTTCCACATTCTAACAGCAGGTTTAAGCTCAGCCTTAAGACCACTTATGAAGCAAGAAACGTAATAGGCATCATCAAACTGATAACCTAACAACAACAACCTAGAACGGAGCTCTTCAATCCTCTTTTGATATTCAATCACATTACCAGTTTGAACTAATTGTTCTTCAACACAATCCTGACCATTACTCACACCAAAACGTTTAATTAAAGCCTCATAGAATTCAGTCCAGGACAGCTTACCGTAGGTAGACTTGACCCCTTGGAACTATGTATCGGCCTTTCCATCGAGACACAGCTCTACAGAATCGACCATTTCCACCTCTGGAATGTTGTGCATCTGGAAGTATTTATGACACTTACGAAGCCAGCTTTGGGGATCGCCGCCGGTAAACAGTGGTAAATCCAACCGGGGTTGCTGATACCGCCGGTAAACAGTGGTAAATCCAACCGGGGTTGCTGATACCACCGGTAACCCTGTTGTCCCCAGATGTTGTCCCCCTAAGATCCTCCCGAAGCTGTGAAGTCAGGTGGAAGGCTGGTTCTGGTTGAGTTGACGGCGCGTGGATGGGGATCCAATTTTACGCGTACGGGGTTGACTCGGGAACGGCCATTTCGTTTCTCTAAGGCCGCCTTGAACGTAACCCTAGTGTTGTCGGCTCCTCCTTGTGCAAACAGAGGCCGGTAAGGTGCTGGAGAAGTCGGAGACGAGACTTCTGTCACCGGCGCCTTCTCGGAGTAACGCGGCTGCAACGAGCCAAACAACTCCATCATCCTCTTGAACTTTGCCTCCATCGACGATACCAAAGAGTCAACTTTTGACTCCAGAGACACCATCCGCGATTCCATGCCCTCGAATCGAGAAGGGTTCGCTTCGTTGTTAGTTTCCTTCACGGGTTCATCCACAGCAGCCCTAGCTCTCGTCATTTTTGTCGATTGAATTGAAGGAACGACGGATTGAAAAAGTTCAAAAAGTATCAGAAAGAGAGAATCAAAGTCGATTAAAGCGGAAGAATCGAAATTTGGAGCTCAAAATGCCGAGAAAAGTCTAGCTCTGAGGCCAAATGTAATGCTATAGTAATTTGGAGATCAAAACAGGGATGAAATCAAAGAGATCGGGTAGAAAATTAGGGTTCTTCGTAGAGAGAATTTAGGGATATGAAACTTTCAATCCGTTAAATCAAAACCATAACTATTTCATATTAATAATTTTGCCCTAACCAAGACTATATATAGTCCGGTAATTCGCATATTTAAGTACCAGCCCCTAAGCTATTAATTTAAGGTAATTGTGTGCTAACATACTGACAGACAGTCCATGACAAAATACTTTTGAACTCAAATGCTATACAGGACGGGAACGGATACTACCGAATAGACCATAGTGGATCTACGCGCCTAGAATTCTGTTTCGGCCCACCTCAGATCCTTTAGCCCAAAACCAATAAGAGTCAGTATCCTAAATATTGAATAATAGGCCCGCTTGGTTTTACTGATAGCATAAATACATGCAAATCCCAATTAAAAAAAGGCGGCAGTGGAGCTTCCATAAACGTCGACAATCTGCTCAGTTGGTCGCCGGCCGGTGGACGGCCCCTTTCTCAACTCTCATCAAACATGGCAAACAACAGCAATAGCAATCAATCACAAGGGCAACCACCGCCTTATCGTCCTTATAGGTTGAAGAAAGTCCTGAATCTCCACACACGCGCCGTTTCGTGCGTCAAGTTCGCCAACAACGGCAAGCTTTTCGCTTCAGCTTCTCTGGACAAGACCTTGATCGTGTGGTCCGCGGAAACCCTAACCGAAATTTCTCACCTCGTCGGCCACTCTGAAGGCGTCTCCGACTTAGCTTGGTCATCCGACTCAACCTACATCTGCTCCGCTTCCGACGATCGGACCCTCCGAATCTGGGAAGCGCGCTCCGCCGAATGCGTCAAATCCCTAAGGGGACACACCGACTTTGTCTTTTGCGTCAATTTTAACCCTCAATCGAACCTCATCGTCTCGGGTTCGTTTGACGAGACGGTTCGGGTATGGGACGTGAAAACGGGCAAGTCGGTTCATGTAATTCGGGCCCATTCTATGCCGGTTACTTCTGTGCATTTTAACAGGGATGGATCGTTGATAGTGTCTGGGAGTCACGATGGGTCTTGTAAGATTTGGGACGCAGCAAGTGGCGCGTGCCTCAAGACGCTCATCGATGATAAGGTTCCGGTGTCATTTGCCAAGTTTTCCCCTAACGGGAAGTTTATACTTGTTGCCACTCTGGATGATACTCTTGTAAGTAAAAGATCTATTTTCATCTCCATTTAGAATAGTTCCCTTTCAATCTTATACTATTGTTTGAATGCATGGATGAATCAATCAATTTTGTGTAGTGCGTAATATAGAGAAGTTACTTATCAAATTGGGGTTTTCTTAAATGTGAAATTGACTTCATATTAGGATGGTAATTTAGATTTTCTTTTTATTGCCATTCATGTGTAGTGGAATGGTGTAGCTTTTTTGTGGTGAGTACATGATGAGATATTCCAAATCTTTTTATGGCTGGTATACTATCTCGTAATATTTTTCCTATCATGTTGGTGTGTTGGTGCAGAAATTATGGAACTATTCAGCTGGGAAGTCATTGAAAGTGTACACTGGTCATGTGAACAGAGTGTATTGCATAACACCTACATTCTCCGTTACGAGTGGAAAGTACATTGTTAGCGGTTCAGAGGACAAGTGTGTGTGCATATGGGATCTTCAAGGGAAGAACATGCTTCAAAAGCTCGAAGGGCACGCTGATACCGTCGTCTCAGTAACTTGCCACCCAGTTGAGAATATGATTGTTTCTGCAGGGCTTGACAATGATAGGAGTTTGAGGGTCTGGGTTCAAGGTTAAATAACTGGTGGAGTGGTACAAGAGGTCAGTTTTGTGGTTAAAAATGTGTAAATGCCTAAATAATCATTCCATGTGAAGTTGAAATGGTAGCATTTTCTGCTGAGGAAAATGGTTTCACCATTGTTGATTGGAGTTGATTTATTAGCACCCCTTGTTCTTAATACAAGGTAGATGGATACTCCTGATACTCAAGTGTAGCTGTCAATCTTGAAATCATGTTTAGTTGTGTTATTCTGAACCTACTTTGAATTCACAAAGTAGAGGTTCGACATAGTATGCAAATTATCATTCCAATTAACGTCGTGTTAGTGATACCATTCTGGTGGATGAGATGCTGTCTAAGCTTTCATGACATATCTTTTGGATGAAAGTTTTTTGGGTTGTAGATATGGCTCCACAGTTTTGTTTGTTCATTCTCTGGCCTTTCTTATTTTTCTATGTTAAGAAATTTAGCTATTTTCCGAGTGATAACTCATGTGTAGCAAGTGATGACTGTTTGACTGATTTAGGCAGCTAAGTTAGAAATTTAGCTATTTTCCGAGTGATAACTCATGTGTAGCAAGTGATGACTGTTTGACTGATTTAGGCAGCTAAGTATTTACACAGATTAGACTTCGATTCATGCTTTCATTACACAACATATCAGTGATTCCTTCCTAAATGGAAGTGTATCTGCAATTTTGCATTCTGCAAGTGTGCAACTTTCCTGAACAATAGAATTCATTCTTCCTTCCTCTAGGTTATTTGTTGGCAGTCATTCACCTTAAATCACAGAAGTATGAAGAGCTCCTATTGGAAGCTTTTCCATTTTCTTTATTTTTGTAGTTCTTTATTTTATTTTTTCTCTTTCATCATAAATGTGGACGTGTGGTAACAAGTTGGAACCAAACTGCTGTCAAAAAGAAATGAACCATTTTGATTATAGACCTGATAAACTGGTTACAAAATGAATAAAGTAGTTTATGCTGCATCATCCCTGCCCTCAAGTCTTGCTGAACCATATATATCTTCTGCGCCACTTCTGACTCGCTTCCTACGATCTGCAATCATTTCTGTATATGCCTGCAATATGAGTTCAGAATGTTATTCAAACCTTTAAACAGTTAATCGTTTCTTTAAGAAGGTTTAACACATGATCGTCCTCTTTCCTAATAGTCCAATTTATGATTAGCTACATGTTCCTGACTACTAATACATAGCTGAACACAGAACAAAAGTTCCTCAAATTTGCCAGAGCCTAGGTATATGCAAAAGAACAAATTTTGGTACTTAACAGGCCTGTGCATTTGATGATTCTGAGTTTTGAAAATTCAAATTTGCAAGGTACAAATTATGATACACAAGGAAACATACTAACCTGAGGATAAGAGACCAGAAAAATGTACCACCAAGCGCATATCAGACTGAGAACAACAGAGGTAACAATGACTGAATGCAAAACGAACCAGCTACCAGTAATTAAGAGCATCCCGGTTGAGACTATAGTCCAGGGTTGGCACCTGAAATTGTTGATGAACCAATGATGATTGGTGAATGATAGTTGTCAAACTTTTAGTAGTAATCCATTAGAGAAGCTTGATGCTGCTAGATTACTAACCAGGATGGCTTGGTGTCCCAAACAGAATCATACTCAAGCGAGAGGTAGTTAAGATAGCCGTCCATGTCCTCCACAGCCCCATTCTCGTCGAAGAACGTGGCAGGATCCTTGGGATGGTCGACGTCATTACTGCTGCCACACGGCGGCCGGCGGCTCTTCTTGTTAATGATTGAACTGGTAGTTAGTTTGTGGGGTTTCCGGTATATTAGGGAATTGAGAAAGAAGGTTTTGGGAGTGGAGGCCGCTACAGTTGGTCTTAATCTTGGTGGGTTAGAGAAGGTGACGGCGGGGCATGGGCTGAAACTGAAACTCTGAGCTATCATTTTCCCAACTGTAATCTTCAATTTTTGTTCGTCGGAAATTTTGAGCTCGGAAGCTAGTTGTCCCGGAGCAGCCAACGGGTGAAATTACAAAAGTAGCCACCAGCCAGTGGTTATCGGATATCAGAAATCTGAGATGGGTCCCAATTTTCTGCTTTACTAGGCGTACACGAGTGTACCACCATCTTATGCGAATTTTTATACTCCTAATATAAATAAATAAATACAGTATATTCCAATGAAAAAAACCTTAATTACTAATTGTTAAGTCAAACTTTGAGACTTAAAAGTTGAAACATCAGGCATTACTCTTCAGGGTCTATTCTTATCAAATTTCCTGGTTCTGTTTCTGTCCCATGGGAAAAAGTGGACTTACACGATTCATCATTTCTTCGCCAATCCTGGGGATTTCTTTTGGTGAAATCTTACTAAAACACATAAATGAATCCAACTAATGAAAGAAAGCAAAAAGCTTCAAATGATCAATCAACCCACCCGTAACATGTTTGTAACTTGGTGATACCATTTATCACTTGCCAAGAGGATGAATAATGCAAAAATCTTGCCGAAATGTATCATCATCATAAGAACTTCCATTAGACACTACAGTTTTAGGCATTCAGGCTTTAGCTATGAACCATGTATTATTGGTCAGGAAACTGCTGTTTGGAATTCCATATCCACTATCACATGGAAATTAATAAACAAGAATTACCTGTATGAAATAAAACCAAACAATTTGAACAAATCCATAACAGGAATGAAGGCTGAAGAGCAATCTGGCCTCTGATAATAGATCATTCACAGATGCAGGCCGCCCTATAGTATTCAGATTAATCAGTACAAAACTCAAGCACTTCAAATGACTAAACACCGAATTCTACGATTTACAACCTTTCTCAGATAGCTCTTTATCTACTACTACCCAAGCACTCATCATAGGAGTAAAAATCTATAAGTAATCGCCCCTTACCAAAGCCTAATTTTTGTTTGCAAAATTGTACTAAATCTATGCTGTGAACTTTGAAATTAATCAAAAGAAAGAAATTGCGTGTAATTTTTTTTTTTCACACAAAATCTAATGTTCATGTGGATCCCAACTGACAAACCAAAGACTCATGTTGAATTATTCACCTTCGCGTCCTGTCATCTGGGCTGTACCAGAACTGTTCTCACAGACGCCGCCGGCGTGGTTCTGGTTGCAACTATCGTCGTTAACCGCCGGACGGTGAACGTGGGAAAATGGAGTTGACAGGGCATGAACAACGATCCTCTTGTTAGTCACAATATCAAAGCTCTTAATCTTGACGTAATTGATCTTCATCGGAGCCAAGAACCCGGCTCCGCCCGCGGTGGTCACCACCAGTTTCTGCCCGTGCTCCATCGTCGGAATCTCGAAACCCACCGGCAGATTCTTCAGATCGGACCCCTTCAAGAGCTTCCCGGGCACAATGTGAAACATCAAATCAGTGACGTAAGCGTGCCCACCACCTCCGGCGAAGATGGATGCATCGTCTAAGGCGAAAATCGTCATGGACTTGAGTTGAGACAGCTCCGGGTACTTGACCCGCATAGCCAGAGCCAAAAGACCGAACCCGTTGACCCGAAGAAGCATCATGGCCTCTTTCAGCAAGAACCGCATAATCAAGAACTCCGCCGTGTCCGGGGGCTGGTTCGGAAAGGCGAGAGTAGTCATCTTCTCGACGGCGCAGGAAGTGGGCGAGAGATGAGACATAAAGCCGTGGACCCCATGGATGATGAAGAGGCCATTGTTGAAAAGGTCTGGCTTAGTGATTTCGACGCCATTGACAAACACCTTGCGTTTCGCGATGGGCTCGTAAGGTTTCGTCGGAGAAGCAGTAATGGTGAGGCACCGATTGGGGGCTAGGGTTTCAATCTTGGTCCCGAAGGCCAAATTGCGGAGGAAATGGAGATTGTAAAGGCCCGGAATGGAATGTTCTTGAATCAAGAGAGGAAGGGAACAGGCAGGGCAAGTAAGGAGGGAAGAATCCGTCGGAGCGAAAATGGTGGTCGGAGTCGGAAAGGAGAAGTTCGCGTTGACGGCGGCTATGGACAATTCTTGGAAACCGAGGGTGGAGAAGATGGTGGCGAAGAGGGACGGCGGGTATGTGATTGTGTGAGGAATCAAAAGCGGCTGAGAAGGCGGAGGAAAAGGGTGGGAAACGGCGGCGTAAGAAGCCAAAATTGCCGTCACGAGGAGGAAGAGTAGTTTACCGGCGGTGACCGCCATTGATGAAGATTGCTTTGACGGTTATTTTCTCAGAGCACAGTATAGTAAGAGCGGTTTTAGTTTGCAGAATTGGGGTGGTTATCAGAACTTGCTGAGAAAGACGGTTCTTTATCCCCAATGGATCCCCTTTTTATAGATTTTGTTTAACGCTGCAAATTCCTGACCCTTAATCTTGTATCTTATACAAGAACATTAAGGGAAAAACTTAAATGACAAATTTCCAGGGAACTAAACAGATGCAAAATGCCACTAACCTATTTGCCGAAAGCATTTGGTCATCTACAAATGATTTATGAAGTGGAATTCTGTGTTTCTATACTCTAAATACCTTGTTTTTCTCCTCCAGAACGTTTAGAAGCACACCAAAAAAGAAGAAGAAAACATGCAAAAAAGAACATTTTTTTTTGTAGTATTTCACTCAGTCTTCCAAGCATACAAAATCAGAGAAAAAGCTTGACCTTGTTGTGAGTCTGGACCCGACCAGCTAAATGCAGAGGAAGGACTGCTAATACTATTTGCCAACTTCTGGGCTGAGCTTGAAAGAGAGGTTTGGAACAGGAACACAGCATTTCCCACAACACTTCCAAAAAACCAACTGTGAACATCCCAGTAGACATGAACTGCCATCCCATCTACCAAAATGGTTTGGTTTCCCCTGAATTTCCACCTTAGTTTCTTCACCTGCATTACAGCCTTTCTGTCTATGCTAATCACCAGAGATGGATCATTGATTTTCTCACTGTAACATTCGATTGTGATGTCGTGTATCCGGCCCTTGTCGTAAAATTGTGCCTTTGTTCCATAATGTTTCTTCCCGAATATGTGCTCTCTTTTAGCAACAAACACTGCATCAGAAGATGCAGCAGCAGAGGCAGGCTTTCTTGGAGTTCGATCGATTTTCTTGTAGACTTCCTTATGCAAATCCCCGAGAATCAGCACGATTTCTTGGTCGAAAGCAACAGCTACGTAGAACCCTTCTCGTGGTTCAGGGCCAGTACCGAATTTCGCCAAGGAGAAATCCCAATATATGTCAACCACAGAGGAATCAACCAGTGAACTCTTGAACCCTTTTCTTCTTGTGAACAACCATGGCTTGATATCAACTTTGCAGAGGAATTCATTGCTGGAATTCTGAATCCCAATACTAACTCCTTGTCCTACTAAGTTCTTGGACCAGGTAATGGTGATGAAGCATGAGCTGCCCTGAAAAAGACACTCATACACGCATGTGACTAGGTTCTGTGGAGCTTTGTTGTTTGAAGATGATGATGTTGATGATGATGAATAATCAACCACCTGAACACCATTTTCACTGAAACAGGAAAAATCCCGCATTATCCCACCAATTCAAACTTCTTTTCTTTATGTATCAAAACCTCATTTGAATTGCAATACATATACTAAAGTCATCTGTTTCTAACATGGTTGATGCAGCCACGTTCTGATGGAGAGCTACCTTCAGAAATGTTTCCTCATGAAAAGTGACAATTCTATGGCATTAGCTGTACCTTAATCTGTACTAAACATATACCCAAAAAAAAAAAACAATATGGATCCCTCAGAGTCAAATCGTAGTCTCTCTCCGCAAGAAAGCCTGAAAAAGCAATTCAAAAATGCCAAATTTTTGTCTGAGGAAAGAATAGAAATAAAAGAATGTTGGGTGATCCTATAAGGAGTTGGAAGGTAAAAGACAAATCTTTACCCAATGAAACAGAGAATTAGGCCATTTTGGGATGTTGGGATTCTTCAGCTAAATATGGACAGTTAAAAATGTTTTGATCTGCTTGGGTTGCTTATGAACAACAAAAAAAAAGTTAACTGTTCCTCTACAATGCGGTCCCTCTCTGAATGATGATGAGTGTAGAAATGTTTACAATTTCCACACAGCTACAGAGACAGCAACCAACTTGGGCTTATCCGTCAAAAATGTTGAATTTGGTAGTACATTAAATTGAGAGTTAAACCATTTTTTGACATATTTCTTGCAGCGTCAAAACAGAATTAGTCTCAAATTCAATTCAAGAGACCAATTCAAGCATTTGCGGATAGGAAGAATACTACTTAGTTGTCATTTGAGGTCAAAGGAAATATTGAATTTCCAGAGAGGTTTTTATTACAATTTTGATTAATCTGGCAGCTGAAGGATTCAACGGCTGATTATTTTCTTTCTACGAAGTTAGTTGAAACCACGTAATTTGATGCCTAGTTAGTGATTTTTTTTATTTTTTTGGTTAATGATTTGACTAAGGCCAGCAACCTTGATTAGAACAACTCCTATTGCAACTGAAAACCTACTTGGCGAACCAACATTTAAAAAAAATAAAAACAAGAAGACAGAAGTAGAAGTTCTAATCTACAATTTACGCTTCTTTGATCAAGCTGTCAGCGCTTAAATTATTTTTATTTTAGTTAGTACTCTTTCCGTCCCGAAATAATTATCCAACTTAAATTTTTATTGTTGATATAAATTATAATAAAAATGAAAACTCAAAACAGATAACCATTTTAGGATAATAGAAAAACTCTCACGACAAAAGGTTTAAACAAGGTTTAAGCTTCAAAGGAGTGCTCGACTCAAGTCTCAAGCCATTATAAGGTGCCAATTAGTACAATGATGTAAACAAAATGTAAAGTAAAATTTGCTTTGGTTTTAAGACTTATTATTTGGTTTTTGATCATGGATGGAAATATAATGTTGCATTTTCTTTTTCAATTATTTTTTCTCCCAATAAGCGATCATGATGAACTAGACAGATTAAGGCACCTAATAAAGTCTTTCTCATGGGTATATTTCTTGAATTTAAAAATTATTAGAAGTTAGTTGTACATCCTTTCACGTATTAATCTTGGAATGTTTAGGCTCCTGTGATTGGCCCATGTATCACGTTCGACACAATTATATTTTCTCAATTCTATTTATTTAAGACAAGGACGCGGCCTTCGTCAAAGTCTCAAAGATATCAAAATTTAGGGAAATATAAAGAAAATTATTAAAATAAATGTGCCAGGGGGACCAAATTAAAAAACCCTCTCAACTTGAGCTCATGCGAATTGCGAACAGTGACCGAACCATGCCATTTCATGAGTCTCGTCCTGGTCATGACTCATGATTATGATTCAACATATCTCAATTGTTTCAAAAATAAATAAAATGAATAGTATTATTTATTTACTAATATTATGTGGAATACAAAAATGTAGGCCAAAAATGAGAGTTGTACTCATATGTTGTTCCTTTGGTTAGCCTTCCAATTGAGTATACTTCTCAAATGGAATATCATTAGTTATCATAAGCCTTAACTACCGCAATCATTCAGGTTAATAACTTTGAATTTTTATTTGGTGAAACTAGTTGATTACCCTTTTTTGGGGTTTTCAATTTTGGTTCTGAAGGGGAAAAAAAAACGCATGCGATGTCGCAATGTCTTCCAAAGGTTCAACCCTACCAACCCATGTGATGGAGAAGACTGGTCATCTTTGCTCTCTTTTGATCATTGGATTATGGAAACCCAGCAATTAATTTCAATCTTTCTCTTCTTTAGATTTCTCATAGATTTATTTGTAGATACACTTCGCATCACCAATGTACTTTTGGACATACCATGTGAATGCGGGCACATCATATTTTGACATCTCTATATATATATATGGAGCTTCCAGCTTCGTCAATTGATCATATTTAGCTCACAAATCCGCCTCTGTAATTAGCCAATCTCAATTGGTAAACTGTTTGTTTTTTTTAAAAAAAAAAAAGTTTCAACAAGATAAAGAGGTTTGCCCATAAAAGATGGAGTATAAAGAAATGACGCGGTGTCTGAGTTAGACTTAGAAAATTGAAAAATGTAGTGCAAGTTGTGAAAATGTAGTCTTTATTACTTATATCCCGTCATAGACGAGAAAGGCACATTTTTTTTTTGTACATTCTTATGTCACGTTATTGAAGTCATAATTCAAAGGAGAAAGAAGAAAAATTCGGATATTGGGGAATTCAAAATTTCAAATTAAGACGGAGGAGATAAACCGGGGGAGATCCTTATTAATATTTCAGATCTTTTATTTCACTAGTATTATGTCCGCACGTTGTGCGGATTTTACTATATTTTATAGTACCATTAATATATCATTATTTTTCTATAAAAAGTGTCATATGTTTTAGTTTTTTCGTTTTTTGGTATATATTAGGCATTGAGAGTCCAAATTCAAGAGTGTCATATTTATTTTTTTTTAGTATATAGTGGATTCGGTGTTCGAAATCATTGTTCTAAATAATTCGTCTTTGAATCGGGTAGGTCACTTTTGGAAGACAAACATCTCCCAACAATCATTACTACATGCCCATGCATAGATTTGAACATGGATTATAGTTAACTTAACCCAATACTGTTACCACTTTGATTAAGTATTTCTAAGCTATATAGGGTATTTTAAAATACAAATTAATATGTTTAACCATCTAATATGCTTCTTGTTTAAGAGTGTTAGTATATATAAAAAAAATTCTAAATACGAATCAATATGATCAATTGTCTACTATCCTATTTCTTTAGAGATATAAGTATATAAAAGTTATTTTTAACAATAGAAATTAAATCAAGTATATTCTTAAAACATATTTACTGAAAAGCATATCTTGTTTACTTGTAGTAATTGAATCAAATATTATAAATAATCTTTTTTTTGGCATAAAGTAAAATTTTTTTTAAAAACAAAATCCTACAAAAGTAAATAAAGCACAAAAAATAGGGGGGGAAACCATGAAAAAAACTAATAAATAATATTTGAAATACTTATCCATATTCCAAACTTTTTCCTTAGTTTTTTTAATAGTAAAACAGGCTATGCCTGGCAGGTGTAGGACCCATTTTGTTTATTTGGACTCACAACTTTTTCTTTAGTTATGAGTGCTTTTCGAGATACTTATTCATTTGCCATCATGGTGCCACACTTCTATTATAAAACCAAACTACATAAATAATCATGCACTTAAAGTAAATATATTTAACTATTAATATCTCAAATAAAGTATATATTTCCCTTCAAATTCTGGAGCATGAGTAATTTCATTTTAGTCTATCTGACTCCTTTAGACCGAGATTGATGCATAACTATTTTTTAGCTAAACCCATTGAAATTCTATAATAGCAAGGGTGCAAAACATACCAAAATGAGACCCTCGCGATTGCTTAAATATAAAATCATCAATACTCATAAATATTTGTCAATGACATACAACAAAAATAATCCCTAACATGGAAAATATAATGCATGTTCTAAAAATGATGCCTCCCCTCTAAAAAAGAAAATGTATGGCAGTAGTACCAAAATTTTTCTTATAATGTCGAACTTTAAAATGCAAGATAAAATGATTAGTTAATAGTTTAAAACAAAGGAAAAAAATCTGATGAATCTTTTACAATTAACGACCACATTTCCCATTATTAATCATAAATTAGATGGAAGGTCGTCCACAAGTATCCACACTGGAATAAACTAACGAACCTTCTTCAACACAAGCAAAATTAAGAAATCAAGTAAAATTCTAACAATCACTCTAAACACTAAGTTAATAATATTAAAGTAATACTTACCATGTCAATTGAAATCCATCATACTCCCTTTTCGACCAACAAATGAAAAATATCCGTCTAGAATTACAACTCAACAAAAAGAGATTTCAATATATATCTTTCAGACAAAAAAAAGAGGTTCAGATTGAAGTGGAGGAGAGAGAGGGATGAGATAGACGACGAAGGGGAAGGGAAGAAGAGAGAATCAGAACGTAACCTCTTTGTTTTTTTTAGTGACTAATCTTTTTTATTTTTGAAAAATATATTAAATGGAATCATTTGAGAAATAATATTAACCTACGTTTAATGTATCTAGATTTAGTTTCGAATTGTATTCATAATATAATATTTTATAACTAATCTCTTTTTACTTTTGAAAAATATCTCGAATGGAATCATAAAAATAGTTAATCCAAGTTTAATGGATATAGACTTGGTCCTAATTGTATACGAACGTAGTATAATCATTTGCTAACTAATCTCTTTTTAGTTTTTTGTAATTAAATTCTTTTTATTTTTGAAAAATATATCAAATGAATTTATTTAAAAAATAATATTAGCATAAGTATGATGTATCTAAACTTGATTTTAAATTTTATTCGTAATATAATGATTTGGCTACTAATCTTTACATTTTTTATAACTATTTTTTTATTTTTGAAAAATATATCAAATGGAATCTTTTAAAAAAATACTAATATACATTTAATGTGTCTAAACTTAGTTTTGAATTGTATTCGTAATATAATGATTCGGTAACTAATCTCTTTATTTTTGTAATTAATCTCTTTTTATTTTTGAAAATATATCAAATAAAATATTTTGAAAAATAGTATTAATCTACATTTAATAAATCCAGACTTGTTTTTCGAATTGTACTCATATCATAATTATTTGTAACTAGTCTCCTTTTATTTTTTTAAATTAATCTCTTTTATTTTCTAAAAAAATATATTAAATGGAATCATCTGTAAGATAATATTAACCTATCTTGCATATATACAGTCTTGGTTTTGAATTTTATTTGTAGTATAATTATTTGGTAACTAATCTCTTTTTATTTTTGAAAAATATATCAAATAATACAAACATACGTTTAATTTATCCAAACTTAATTTCATATTGTATTCACAGTATAATTATTTGGGAACAAATATATTTTTTTGTTATTGGTAACTAATATATTTTTTGTTATTGGTAACTAATCTATTTCTATTTTTAAAAAATATATCAAATAGAATCATCAGAAAAATATTATGAACTTATGTTTAATGTATCAAGACTTAGTTTTGAATTATACTCGTATAATTAATTGGTAAATAATCTCATTGTTTTAGTAAGTAGTCTCTTTTTATTTATGGAAAATATACCAATCATCTAAGAAATAATATTAACATACTTGTAATGTAGGTAGACTTGGTTTCGAATTCTATTTGTAATATAGTTATTCGATAACAATGTTTTTTCTTTTGTAACTAATATCTTTTAATTTTGGAAAATATATAAAACAGAATCATCTGAAAGTAATATTAACTTACGTTTAATGTATCCAGACTTACTTTCAAACTGTATTCTTAATATAATTATTAATTTGATGATTAATATTTCCTTATGTCATATATTTGTCAATAATTATCAAAGACGTATTTATTTTTTCTGAAATTAACTATTGGTAATTACATAATTCAATTTAACAATTTTACGTATTAGTAAGAAACTTTTAACTGTTTAATAAAAGAGAATTTTGATGACGACACATGACACAATTGGCTAAATTTATTCCATGGGGAACACGTATCGATTAATAACTCTGCTTTAATATAATATATATATATATATATATTCCTATGTTGTAATTTGAATTCATCAATTTTTCTAGCTCTATTGGAATTTTTTTTCACAATTTTATGATCTTTAATGTAGATTATTTTTGTAGGACAAAGTATATTATGTAATAACATCAAAATCAACATCAACATATTCGAATTTTTTATATATAAAGGGAAATAAACTTTCATAATAAGCATTTTTTGTAAATGAAAATGAGCCCTTCATGTTGATGCACAACTCCAAACAATTATAAAAGAGTCCCTGATGAGATGTATACGCGAGCGGCTTGACCCAAGTCTTTGGAGAGTGCAAATTCCCACAACATGCTGCCTTGGCTTCAACATTCAAGAAATTCCAAACGTTTTGATTGCCATTCAATATCGCCACGCATATTTTGGCTAGTAATGATCAGACATAGCTCAACAAGACTGCTGATCAAGAAATATAAATTTCTTTTAATGCCATTTACCACGATCAGATTGGAATTCAATTATGGTTGGAATAGTGTAATATCTTTTTCTTTTAGGAAATATGCCACCGTAATTATAAATTTCTTTTAGTTATAATTTCAAACATATATCAATCCTATAAGTACATTGATCTCATCTCTTATGATATTTTTATGAGGAGGGAACAGTAGTTTAGTTTACGAGGGCAGAAATTTGTGACGTTTCATCTCTAAGTCGGCATGTTCTTCTAATGAAATATTTGTGACAACTGAACCAAGGAAAATCTCATGCATATAAGAAAAGCTAATAATGCATGTAAGATTGTAACGTGGCAAAATTAAATTATTGTAAAATTTAATTAATTGTAGCTTGCAAATATTATATTTCTCATGAAGTAGGAGGTATTTAAATAAAATAAAATAAATTGGAAAAAAAGGTGAGCCACCAAAAACCAAAAATCTAATTAATTGTCTAGTTCTAGTCCATCCCCAACCAAAAACCTTTGGTTGGCGGGTTGACAAAATATGACTACCAAACTCGCAGAAGCAGTAAGAGGGTTTTGGGTTCCCAATAGTACTCTCGAGAACACTTTAGTCCAATAGACACAAAATTATCACAATAGCATTTATCATTTCTGGGCCTATATATTGGTCTTACCGTGACACTTTTTTCTTCTTCTTTCCCCGGGACACCCAATTCCATAACTTCGCAAAACTCAAAGAAGAGGGTTACTGTTTTCTTGCTTGGTCTCAATGATTTGTGTTACTAACTTGTTACCCTCACTGCGAAAGAATATTTTACAAATCGAGAAAATGGCCATAGTTCCGTCTACCGAATGGTTCGATGAAAAATCTAAGTCCTTGTTAAATCATGATAATCCTAATAAGTAATATTGTAATTCTCTTAAATTTTAGTTACATTATTCAGCCAATGAAACTAAATAATGTTTATTATTCTCCTTGTATTGATCACACAAACATAAGGGCAGTTCAACAACAATGCAGAAATTTTTGGAAGATTGATCAACAAAGAAAAGTCTCAATGCATCCTTCACTAGTGCACTTTAATGCCTTGTCACTGAATGAGTAATCTTGTAAACTAAGGTTAAAAGGTATAATAAGAAATTGAATCTTTTGGCTTTTATGTCGTTTGGTGAATCAATAAATTACCACACCGGCTTGTAAATTTACCAAAGCGCTTTTTCCTTATTTGACTAATATCACTACAAGAAAAAAGGCATACAAAGGTAATATTTAGTGTCTTCATAAGTATGCTACGGTGATATAAAACTTTTAAAAGCATTGACCACTTGTGTGGTATATACTCATGTCACCATAGCTCTAATAATTTATTGTGACAATTATAAATGCCTTTAAAACTCATTCTTTATTTTATTATTTAGTAATTTTTTTACCATTTAATGTCAGGAAATCTAATTAACTTCTTACTACTTATTAACTTTTTACTATTTATTATTTTACTATGAAATAACGTTTTTTTACTATACAGTGTCGTTATATCTAATTAGTTTTCTACTGCTTAACCATTCATAAGCATTAAAAACGATAGTATACACATTACAACCCATTTTTCAATGGACGACACCACTTTTTATATTTTTCTCAAAGAATGCACTTTCATTACCACAACAAACTGAAGCATGTCAAAATGAGGAATCACTTTACTTTTGAAAATTTCTAAGTTCTAGAACAAACAAACAGTTTGAGCATTCAAAATTTCCAATTCGACACGGTATGTAACCATATGACAGCTTCAATTATTAAGAAACAGAGTATTAACTATTACAGAGTTGTGCAAATAAGAAAGGCAGCCTCCTACACCAATGCGATTAATCTTCTTCCTAAGCTTCGTTTTCAACAATGTTGAAGTACCTCAACTCATAATCCTTTCGATACTTGTTGGAGGCAATCACAGGAAGCCAATCATGCACGTTTCTTTTTGAGGTATTTCTTAGTCAAGTACTTCAAGTACCTGAATTGCACAAAGAATAAAACTGCATATCAGTAAACTAGCTAGAACGCTAAGCAGAAATATTGTTTAGAAAAAGGAGTTGGGATTACAAATACACACGTGTTAATCCTAGAGGTAATAGGAAATAGAATTAAACTCCAGTGAAATAACTGCAATAATCTCATACAATGATAAGGATCACCCATGTACTCTTCCTTTAAATAAAATAAGAACAATTCTAGAAAATGTTCTAAAAGCCCTATTCTCAACAAAAATGCATGAAAATATAGCTTCCGAAGGAAAGCGACCAGAAGCCCACACGAAGGAATAAGCATTAAGTAGTGTCAGAATCCCTATCCCCAAAAGGAACACCCATTTCAAGCAGGAGTGTCCTATATTTTGCCCTTGATGGACAGGGTATCTGTCTATCTGTCTCACAAAAAAATCACCACAGATAGTTGATTGACATGGAGTCTAGGGGGTCTAGGGAGTGTAGGGGGTCTAGGGGTCAAGATGTATACAACCTTACCCTGCAATTTCAATACAGAGAGGCTGTTTAAGTACCACCCAAGATGTATTGGTGCATTTGCATAACAGGATAACTACTACCAAAAAGAAAAAAAAAGTTATCCAAATAGTCTCAGAAACCATTTCCTTATAAAAATACCACAAACAATATGGAGGATAGAGATTACTTAAACCCTCAAATAAATTGAACAAATGCTTCTAGTTAAATGATTTATATAATGAGAATATACTGATATAACAAAAAAAATACGTACGCAAGTAACCTCATAAGGGCCACCAGGGTTGTGACTTGCTGTCAATTTGAATGCTCCATTTGCTTTAGATCCCTTCATTCATTTGAAAGAAAAGAATATGAATGTTGATCAAAATAAATCACAATTGATGAATATTGATCAAAATAAATCACAATTGATGAATGTTGATCAAAATAAATCACAATTGTCGTCATTTAAACAACCAGAGAAGGGACTAAAATTTTGAAATATTCACATCAGACGCAACTCTTTCACCGATACCAGCTGATACAACAGGGGTTGACACCAATTCTTTTTAACCAACCCAAATACGTCTTAATCTATTAGCAGCTGCCAGTTTTACAATGATATGCAATGTAATATAGTATTAAGAGTAGTCAGAGTAGTCGGAATAAATGTCATTTATGTTATGAAGTAAAGAATAGACTTGAGGCAGGAAAAACAACTCAACAACAAAACTCAGCCTGAAGTCAATGCAACCAACAAAAAAAAATAAATAAAAATTGAGAACTTGCAACCAAAGTACATATGCATCTTTGCTAGTAAAATGTAAAAATATACAATGTTAAGAGTGAGGTAAAGGACATAAGTGCCAGTTTTTTCCCCAGTATCATACTTATAATATACAATACAGAGATGGGAAAGGAAATTAAGACACCGAACAATCAGGGAATGAGAAAGTAAAAGGTAAATCATCCAAACCCTTTTGAGTTACGTCTGCAAGTATGTGACAGACCTGAAAAATAATAGAACTAAAAGCGAGGGCAAATTACAAGATATAGCTATCCTAAACTCCTGGTTGTCATAGTCAACAAGTCAAATGCCAAACAATATTATGGATATACACCTGAATTGCATCCTTTGAAAAGTAGCGGCCATCACCGAAAACAACAAGTGTAGCACCTGCAAGATGAGTTTGATTGATATAAAAAAGAAGATTACTGGATAGAACCATATATGCAAGTCCCAAACATAAGAATTCACAACTGCACGACTTTAGTTTAAAAATAAATAATAGAAAACTGCTCAATACTTAAACTAGAGCAGTCATAGATGCGTGTCATAGAATTACAAAAATGATCAACAATCCAAATTTAAAAGATGAAATTACCCCTAACTTTATCATCCCTGAGGGCATAGAATGTCGATTGGACAAAGTTATGCAAATAATTGGGTTGTGTAAAGACCTTCACCTAAAATAGCAAACAGAAAAATGTCATTGTTCAATTATGAAATTAGACCTTCACCTCAAATTATTTAGTGGTTCCTTCAATTTTGCCCTTACTATCATTCTGAAACGATACCTTTAACTTTCCTAAGCTATCCAGGAACTTTCAAGAGATCTAGTGGAAGAACACCGTCCTCTTGTCAAACTTTGATGTCACCCTAATCTTCGGCCTCTGCTGGAAGAAACCGACATTCCTAATCAAGCTATTGCATCCGTCCTTGCCGACGCCGCCCCCAACGGGGGAGGATACTGGGTAAGAAGTAATGGCTGAGTTGGCTTTACCCACCCCGATTGATAAAATTTTACCCTTTTAGGCCATATACATTCAACGCACCAAATCCCTAACTTTTCACCACTATAAATGCCCTAAATTTTCTTTACTAATTTAAAGGATTTAAAATGAGGCAAAAATACTACAAGTAAAAAACATCAAGTGCAAAAGAGAAAATTTCAAAGTAATAAGAGATTTTTACCGCTTCGAGAAATTGGAGTAGGTCACAGTGATCTTAGTCTTGTCGCAGACGACGGTTGACGGAATTGCCGAGAGCTTTGATGCATTCTTGGATGTAATTCTCCAGGGAGGAACCCAGTAACAAGAGTGGATCAAGTACCAGAGGAGGCAACCAGATCATCATGGAGGGAACATCAACTTAAGGGAAGATTGAGACTCACGTAGTACACATGAACTTAAGGGAATTATCTATTCATCATATAGAGAATTACGCGATACAAGATAAAAGGAAATTATCAAATCTTTATTTACTTTCCAATAATAATCCAATCCATTTATTTTAATCATGCTTACAGTTACAATTTTGACAAAAATTAAATATATACAATTCATAGGGTAAATAAATTCCTCCGCCTATTCTCACAAGTTTTATGAATGTATAAACATCCCGACTTATACGTTTCTTTATGTATGCGTGTAAAATGACTTTTACTGCGAATATAAATATCATTTCTAGTGTCAACCTAATTCAAAAAGTACAAGTTATATGTTGCATACCTCTTTTTTCTATATGTCTTATACGGGGATCACAATTTACACATGAACCTGTTTAAGTATTCATTCTACATTTTACTTTTCTATCAAATGTTATAAAAGAGAAATATTCCTAAAATATTTTCAACTATACTAAAATGTTTGAATTTTAAACCAGAAGTCAAAGAGAGAGTGCAATTTCCTTCATCTAGAGTAAGAGCTACAAATCATTCAGCCTGGAATTTTGGACAAAAAGCTCTACAAATTTTTCCAGAATCGATCACATTAAAGGTCCACTCTATTATTCCAACCAGCACAATATCTTGAATAAGTAAATAAGAACAAAATCGCACTGCCAAAACAAAAGAGGACAACGACTTAGGGCTTACCACAATTGCAGAAATAATTGCATTCGTAATAGCCGTCTAATGAATCAATCGGCCGAAAAAGGTAGCTTGTTTCAGTAAAATTCCACCGAGGAGCCCTAATCAATTAGCCCGGATTAAATCGCAAACTTTTGGGTCTCGGTGAAAGCCTAATTAATCAGAAAATAAACTTGATTAGGGATTCCTCAAAATTCACTAAAGGCTGAGACTTGAAAAATCTTGAGTTTGCGATTCCTCCAAATGAAGCTATCGACGGGGGAACACTGTTTTTCTCCCAAATTGGTTGCTATCAACCGGTGTGTTTAGTTAGTGGTAGAAGTAAAGTGGGAGACTAATTAGGTGGTTAGTGCTTTACTTTTACTGTTTGCCATGTTACTTTTTTTTAATTAAATTATTTTTTTGCCGGACATGTTAGTTTTATATTCATCTCTACAAATGCCTTCTTAGATGTGTCATGAAAAGTTTAGTTCACTAAGAGAAAATTAAAGTGCCTTAATTGATAATTTATTATGACAATTTATTAAAAATGCCTTAATATCTCTTTCTATTATGACATTTTCCTAATAATGCCTTGATATATGTGTCATCATAGGTATGTTTTCTTATAGTGTATGTGTCTGATCGCAGTTAAAAACTTAATGAATATTTATCCCAACCCCCAAAAAAAAACCCTTAACGATGCAGTGGTCTTTACTTCACTTGGAGAGAAGTTAATTAGCACCATCCATAATATAAACCATCGTAATTTTTCATGAGCTAATTAATTAAGCTACCGCATCTTGATAAGATTTACAAAAATGTAACCATTCAAAGTGCGATTAACTAGGAGGATAGAAGCCAAAGAAGGGTAAAACAAAACACTGGGTTCTTTTCAATTTGGATCGAACAATGGTTGGCACAACATTATCGAAACGGTCGACTTTGGCAGTTTTCTATAATTACAAGCGGCGATTTATGTTTCTCTGAATGCTTTAAAAAAGTAGTCGTTTTTATTGAATAGGGGAAAGAAAAGGTTATTAACTGTACTTTTTTAAAAAAATAATTAGATGCTTGGCCAAAGGGATATTCTAATCTAAGTGAAATACGTATGTGGTTATATATATATATATATATATATATATTTTATTATAATGTGTAATGATAGAAATAATAATTTTATATAAGTGGATTTAATGTTAGATGAGGTTGAGAAGATATTTATTTGAAATTATCATCTAAATTTTAGGATCTTTTAATTGATTATATAAAAAAAATCTTCTAAACTAATCAAAGTAATATAGGAATCAAATTGTGAGAAATCAAAAATAAATATCATAACAACAATAAATTTCATTAAAACTTTTGTTTGTTTTTTTTGTTTGCCTGGAGACATGGAGCAAAATTTTTAATTTAAAATCTTTTGATATGAATTTGAAACAAAATTGTGATCAGAGTTATTTATGAGATTTGAAGGGGAATTGAAGCAATGGTTGAATATGTCGATTTTTTGGATGCCTTCTGTGGAAATGGGAGTGCTCAACAGTTTAGAAGGAATTTGACTAAGGGCTTTGAATTTTAATTTTCACTAATTTGTTGACTAAAGGGCTTTGAATTTTAATTTTCACTAATTTGTAGAAATTTAATGTGATCTGAAAATATGTTTTAGAAGTTTTTTTTTATCCAGAAATAAGTTTATTTTTTATTTTTGTGTTTTAAAAAGAGAATGACACATGACAAAATGGTTTATGTAATATGGTGCATTTGGAGCCAAAAGTTTTTAATAAGAAATTGCCATATCAATATCTTGTATTCTGCTTTAATAGAGTAAAATGGATAATAAGAAATTGTCATATCAACATCATGTATTCTGCTTTAATAAGGTAAAATGGATTGTTATGAATGGTGAGTACATATGTGTAAATGCTTACTATAACTACACGGTAATTCCGGAATGTTTTAGTGGTCCGACTAATATTATTCTGCATACTATTTACAGATCGATTAAACACGGAGACACATTGTTGAAGAGGAATATGCTACTAGCTAGTAATAATAAATTGACAAGAAACAAGGCTGCATGCATTAAAAATAGTCCCCAGCTTTTGGGTTTGGCTTTAATTTTGGTCTGAATCTCAATCAGAAACTCCTGAAATAGCAGGCACACTTTTTAACTCACCTTTTTTAGGGGCTCGCTGTAAGAAAAACGCAGTCCACCGTCCAACTTTCAGTTTCGACTTTCGACCCAAGAGAAACAAAAGTAAAAAAAGTCAATCATAAAACAACAGTACAGTATTATATGGCATTTTCCTCAGAACTAAAAAAAAAAGTAGAAGAAAGAACCCCAAAGGAACATTGGTCTACTTCTTGATGGATTTTAATTACAAAATATATATAAAAAAAAAGTGAAATTAGTAAAAGTAACTAAGACCGAAAAGAAGTAATAATTCACATCAAGGCAGGAGTTCCAACTATTAAGTTTAGCAACGTTACAAAATTATTTAATCTCATATTACCTCTCTTTTAAAAAATTTCAGAAAAGGCCTAAAGTCCAAAAATTATATAGCTACATTGTAAAGTATGATATTCTAACAATATCATGTCTAAGTCACGAAAAAACTCCTAATGACGGACTATCTAACCCATGCAATCCAATCTTTAGTATGGCGAGCTATCATACTACATCTTTTTTTAATAATCTCATTTGTTGTATTACATGGTTGACCATAAAAAATAAAACAGAAGTGGCGTTTCGATGTGAGTTTGAGAATTGAGATGGTAATATTTACTAAAGAATGTGACAGGACTCAAGATGTGGAGGTCCAATCTGATTGGAGAGAGATCCCAACCCCAAAGTTCGCAGCAACTTGTAATAAAACCAGAAGAAACCCAACGTCGAATTAATTAAGGAGGAGAAGAAAAAAAGTGGACAACAGAAAAAGCCAGAAGGAGAAGGGATAAGAAAATTGACACACTCTACTGAAGTCTCTCTATAATTGAAGACAAAAGAAGGGACCATACAAAATAATGACTGAATATCTTCTGATCTGTCAACATTTATATATATTGTCTTACTACTACTACTACATTATTATTATTACTATTATTAAATAAATTATTATTGTACCTATCTTTTTAATTACATCCATCCCACGTGACAATGAAATCTCACTGTGGTTACCTATACAACCGTCGCCGTCGCTCTGACAATTTTGATTTCCGGCGGAGTTCATCGTCTTCATCCCTGGATTTTGTTGTTGTCGTTGTCATGAGGCTGACGAGAAGGTCGGCAAAAGCTCCGACGATGAACTTGTGGGTGCTTTTTGGATTTAAGGACAAATAGGAAGCAAGAAGCTCGTGTAAGTAATCCCAATTGGCTTCTACGTCCGTCAGATCCTGGGCCTCCACCATTTCCTGCATTGACTGCCGGAAATCCAGATAAGGGTCCGGCGAATACGTCGGAACCGCCATACTTCCGCCTATGATGATGGTGTTGGGTTCCGGCGCCGGAGACGAGCTGGAGGTGGATGCCAGGGATGAGAGCGACAGCGAGGAGGAGTCTATGATTGAGTTGGAACGTCCCGGAGAGGAGAAGAAGAAGCGCTGAGATGCAAAGACGGTGGCGAAGTCCGGCGTGGCGGCGGCGTCCAGCTCGGCTTCGGATCCCGACGACGAGGAAAGGCGGTCGTTGTCATCGGAGGGAATGGAGTAAGTAGTGTACGTTCTGGAGTGGCCGCCGGAGGTGCAATCGAAAGTCAAATCGTAGAGAGAGTTGAAGTTCTTGGTGAAGAGGGATGTCGACGATGGACGGCGGTGATGATGATGATCTCCTCCGGGAGAAGATATAGTCGCCGGAGATTTGATCTTTGAGAAGCACAGATTGATGAGACTTCTTCCTATATTCCCCCCCGGCATTGTTATAATCTGGAATTCAGGCAGCTGGAAAGGTTTGTTTTTGTTGTTGTTTGTCTACTGTTCAGAGTAGTTGAGATGAGATGACCAACCCATATTTATGTTGTAAGATTTGTGGGATTTCCAAAAGCAAGGAGAAACGAATAAGTAAATATGGAAGCTCAACTAATGTCAACGTTTTTTCTACATTTCGTAAATTAAAGGAAAAAATGTTAGTATTGCTTCTACGATATAAATTAACGTGAACTGATACTGTGAAAGTGATATTGGATGTTATAATATCTATCTCACAATATCATAGATGTTATTTTTTTCCTTATCGTAGTGTTACAAATTGAGTTGACGTGGCAGTGATTAGTAACTTTATTAAAATGTATATTGGTTATTAGAGGCTTGTACATTTGATGTTTTGTGCATGTGAACACGTCAGCATCTGGAAGATATTGATTAGGTTTAAGATTTACTATTTGGTATAAGTACATTTTTGAGCCAACATGTGCTCCTAGCTAGACAAGGTATTGCACTATTAGTTAACAGCATTTTGGTCAATTCATTGTCGGGAATGATTAGTATATTATGCTTCTTAACTCAAAACTTATACTCCTTCGGTTCCGTACCATAATTATTATCCAATTTAAATTTTTATTTCTAATTCAAATTATACTAAAAGTGAAACTTTAAATTGGATAATAATTTTGAAACAGAGTAACATTTATGAATTATGATCATCAAAACTAAAGGTGAATTGATGGCCTACCCATAGAATTATGCATTCAATTTTAGCCACCGAGACAGAGAGGGCAGTTGGTTTTGGGACCTGTTTCTCCATAGATTTTGCATCAAATTTCAGCCCTACTGATTACTACCTCCCCCATTTCCAAAATTAATTTATTTCTTATTTTGTCAACCATAATTTTGAGACTGATTGTATTAGTATTTTTCAATTATTCAAAGTCAGATTCGGTATTCTCGTCTCCCTAGCTAAATAACTTCTGAAATCATAAGACCTACAATATTGACAAATTTTTAGAAATAAGACCTAGTCGAATGAGTGGTTACTAATAATAATAAGAACGTCGCTCTTTTTTTTTTTTTTTTTTAGAAACAAAAATGAGTTAGACAATATTGGCCTAATTTATTCACAACCGAAGGAATTTGATGCTGCAAAGTCTGAAATTATCTTCCGGCGATATATAGAGTATTCGAAATCAGGGAAGTGGCAACAAGATCTTACCCAAAACGCAACTAGCAAGGGATAAAAATTAAAAAAAAAAAAAAAGTAAAAGGAGATAGTACAGATTCGCAGGAAGATCATTATAGATGGAGATTACTTATGTGATTTGTACTTACGGCTCAAACGCCACCTTGGCAAAGTAAAACAGCCCTACTCGGCTATTCCTTTGTGTATGGACTATACATGGACCCGCCAAAAAAAAAAAAAAAGTAAGATTCCGGTTTCTTTCCAATTAATCCCCAAATTTTATTTTTACCGCGAGTAGCTCCGACAAAGATGAAAAAGAACAAGTTCGAGTGTTCGACAGTCGACACTATAACTTGCAAGAGTAAACTATTTTAGACAAACTCCGAATAAGAATTTGAACTTGGATCTTCTATGAAAGAAAGCGAACTCCCGAAATCAATCTCACTTACCCTAATTACTCCTCACTTCAACAGTAACTTTTATTTATTTATTTTTTTTAAGGATAAATGTATTTGGGACATTTACTATTCTCGCCAGATTTGTCCCAAATGCACATGCATGGATGGAAGTCGAACCCATATTTGTTAAGTTATTATGTTCCGGTACACCTTTGTCTCATTTTTATAGTCTATTTCGTGTTAATTCAATAAAATGTTAAAATTAGACGGAAATAATAATAATCATCAGGTACATATTATTATTGGTGTCTATGCTGCCTAAAATTCCCAAATTCGACCTTACAAACAAGGGAAAAACAGATCATAAACACTGAGCAATATAGAATCAGTCCCATGACCGATCGACGTAATTAATATTTAATAGTGCCCGAGATAGCAAAATGTGTATTTCTCGAAAATGATCAATAGTATGACCATAGCTGTAGTTGGGACCAGATTTAGTCCTTCTATATAATATATACGTCTGCATGCATGCATCCAAATAAATCAGAAAATTTTAAGAACCCAGTTTCTTTAATATTCTAAGCTTTTTTATTTTATATTTTATTATGCAATTAATATATATATATATATAGATGCTAAAATATCACTTACTCTTCCTTGTCCCAAATGAGGAAGTATCAAATTAATTAGTTTCGTGAAATATCAAGCGATTCAAACGGTGTAAGGTTGCCTTCAAGCTAAGCAATGGATGAAATTAAGCAAAGGGTCACGTAAGGAGTAGGATAGGAAAAAATGATGTCGCAACCGCAACGGTATCCTTTCCTACCTTACGGTTTTGAGTTGGCTACATCAATATCCCTCTCTATATATTCACTGTTCACCTACCGATTTAATAAAATAGCCAATTGATCACCAATATTATGGACGTCAAAAAATAGATCAATTTTCGTGTAAATTAAGATTTTTTTTTGGTCTGAAGGATGAAAAAGAAGGTGTCAATGACATTAATGGAATTTAATTTTTGTTATACGTTTTCTTGAATGCTTTCATTCAGCAACGACGTTGGCTTTGACGCTTTGTCCTTGTAGTATACAATTATGTTAAACACATGTAGGTTTTTATAGTGATAAAAGATGTATTAAATATGTAGTACTTCATTCACTTATATCATACAAAAAGCTATTTGATAGCAAATTTGAGGAAGTTGGGATAGCAATATTTGCAAGTTATTGGGACAACATTTGGTGAGCATTCAATCGGTTTATGTTTATCCAGGAATAGTCTAGCCAATGGACCTCTTCAGCAATATCATACTACCTCTTTTTTAGCTGCGGTGCCATTCCAACATCCTCAACGGCGTATTAATATATGTTGGTCCACAATCTCATAAATCAAGGAATGTGGTCGAACCGTCCTGTTGTAAGAAGAAGGCCTTCATTCGGGAAACAAATGCATAAATATACCTCCAAAAAAAAATGGAGTCATAAAGCATTAACTTGAAATCGGATAATTTTCTTACTCTAAAAAATAGTTTACGCTGAGTTTTAAATTTTATAATTATAAACAATTTTCTTAAAACAGATGATGTGTTATTTTTTTTACTATCGCATGTGTCGAAAGCATTACATGTGCGTCCAGCAAAAAATGTGTCTCGTGTACATATTATAATTTACAGATATTAGAATCATGAAGAGATATAGAGACGATTTTTGTACAGAAAAAAAAAGAGTAGGGGAAAAAAAAAAGAAGACAAGATTTCTTATAGATGGCATTAGATGCGAGCAAATGTGTGTGATTTATGTATTCAAAATAATTGGTATGTTAATCCTACACACGAAAGGAGTACAAGTTTATGGATTAAATAGAGTATAAATTTCCCTGGAAAAGCAAAGCAATTATGGAATAAAGATTAGAGGGAGAGAGAGCAGACAAGAATATAATGTATGATCGTCATTTATCAATCATCCGGAAGTAGATAATACGATCCAAATCTTTGAATATTCAAGTGGGAGAGTTTGTTGTTGTTGTTGTGGTAACATTAAGCGCTAGCTACCTACTGCATCTAAATATCAAAATGGTCCAAGTACATACATTACTTATTTTAGCACTAATTTAAATTTAGCGCCCCATGTACGTGAGATGCACATGTATATTCGTTTTTTACATATATTTTTATCTGGAAAAGATAATTCACATTACAATTTATGGATTGAGCTATTTTTATACAATTCATAAATTACAATGTAAATTATTTTTTGTGAAAGAGAAAGAACAAACTCCATAAATTATGATGAGATAAATGATGATCCTTACAGATGCATTAAAGCAAAGTATTAATTTCTTTCTAAAAAAATAATCCATATTAATTTTTCAAATTTGTACTAATAACAGTACAAAACTCAAAATTTAATATAATTTTTTTTTTTAAACAGAGATAATATCATATATAATTACATTCGATTCGAGCGCGGCACTTCCTCGTACTTTCGGCTGAATTACGGTGAAGGCCGCCGCCAATCAGCCTAGCTAGTTGTCTTCTCTTTTTAATTAAAATTTTAGAATTTGTGACGAACTTCAGCAAGGTTAGAAACTTACAACGCCTACATTGTACACACAATTCTGTCCCGATCCAGAAGTGCAGAACAACCAAGAAAAAAAAAAAAAAATTCAAATAAGTCAGAGTGTCTCATTAGGCTCTGTTTGATAATCACTTAATATAGTGACTTAATTTATTTAAGTACTTAATTAAATTAAATGTGTTTGATAATTAATACTAAAAAGTCTTAATGAATTAAGTTCTAAACTAATTAAGTACTTATAAATTAAGTACGTTTGATAACTAAAATTTTACTGTCTGAATTAATTAAGTGCGTCTGAACGCTCAATTTAATTGTGAGCCAGAAAATAAGTGATAGGCCTACCACTTATCACTTATCACTTAATTTCTGTAATGACTCTTTTTCTTTTCTTTTTTCTTTTTTTCCTTTTTTTCCTTCGTCTTTATTTCGACGCTTATTTTTACAGTGTTTTAAAATTTTTATTTTCTTTAGATGAATTAATTAAGAGTGCTTAAAGTTGAATTTATATTATGAGTATAAAAGATCTCAAACTTTCAAACTCAAATTAAACTAATTTTAATACATGAAATTTGCTAAAGAACAAGGTATACATATATATGCAATAATCTAAATTTAATTATATATTGATTATTTACCAAGTGTAATATCTACTTTCATCATAAATACCAAAAACTTATTTTAAAATCATGATTCTATTATTTAGAACAAAATATTAATTATTTTTTTATTTAAAAGAATTTTGTTTATAATTCAATTTTAATGATATTAAAATTTTAAATAACTTTCAGACCTGAATATTCAGATTCAGTCTTCAGACATCAAATTCAGACGTTTTTATCAAACAATGTAAATTCAGCCTTCAGACTTCAGACTTCAGACGTCAGTGTTAAGTGTTAAGTGTTCGGATTCAGACTTCAGTAATTATCAAACGGAGCCTTAGTTATCAGTCAATTACATTTCATAAGGCTTAACGGTCTTAATTGGAGGATAAGGGAAGTATGTTTATACATTTTTTTTTCCATACAGGAGAAGCTTGGGCTTAGAATTACATGACCACGCCTCGAAGAGGAGGCGGATAGTCAAAAGATAGTTTTCCTAAAACTATGTCCGGGGGTGCTGCCAAAATATGCAACCCCGGATTACATGATAGACCTAATTTCGTGAAGGAGTCCGCTATTTCATTTCCGTCGCGTTTTATGTACAAAATATTGACCTGTCATTGTAGCTTGAGTAATGATTTGATTCTTAGCAAAACAAAAACGTTGCTATTTGCAAAGCAACAGGGGTCCTCATCCGCATTCAATTCCTTGACAATAATAGAGTTGTCTAGTTCTAGTAGGACTTGCTTGAAATCGAGTTGCCATGTTATTCGTAAGCCGAAATAGGCTTCTCAAAATTTAACTTCCAAGACTGGGTAAGAGCCTACTTTTGCTGTAAAGCCTGAAATCCAGAGGCCTTCGTGATTTCTCAAAACTCCACCAGCCGCAGCTTGTTTAGGCGTATTGGAGATAACACCATCAGTGTTGATGCGGATCCAGGTCCAAGGTGGTGGCTTCCAGATTGGCTCCGGGTTGGAGGTGGTACTGAGGGCTCTTGGTGGTCTCTTTTGGTGATCTAATCGTAAGATTTCATTAGCAGCAGCTATGATCGAGAAGGACAAGCTCCTGGAGTTGATATAGTTCCCTGCAAATACATCTTCGTTCCTTGCTGTCCACATTTTCCAGCAACCAACTGCAAAGAGGACTGTCCAATTGAGAGCTCCCTGCACCATAGATGGATAGAGGTTAGTTAAAAGCTAAATAGACCAGTTCGTTTCTGACCAAAAGGGGGGTGCAAGGCTGCTATTGATAAGGATCCACGTCTGTCTAGCTTTGGGACAATCTCTGAAAAGGTGTAGAAGACTTTCAGGTTTGGAACAGAAATTACAGGCATCCGAGTCAGCAATATGACTTTGCTTCCTTTCAGCATTAGTCATCAGATATTCCTTCGCCATTGACCACAGAAAAAGTTTGATCTTCTCTGACCCTTTCCACCGCCATATAACTTCCCATTTTTTGTCTTCTGGCATCCAAGAGGCATGGTAAAGGGATTTAAAAGCAGATGAAGTGGAGAATATTCCATTACTCAACCATTTCCAAACTGGCCTATCAGGTCCAAGGCTTGACTCCGGTGGTGGAATCGCCAAGATTAATCCTTGTGTGGCGGTATCGATCTAAGGTTTTATGATCTCCCAATTCCAGTTGCCTCTGAAATCTACGTAATCCTTGATTTTAAGGTGTAAGAGTTTGTTGGAAATGTGAGTGGTCGCCAATTGAGCCAAAGGTTGATCAGTATAGCCATTGGTCCTTCCAAAAGGATATGGATTCACCGTTACCTACGATCCATTTGATTCCAGTCGTCGCCGCATTCCAGATTTTAGATAGGTGCTTGCCTAGGTGCGACATTCCAGAGTAACAACAGAGGCTACTTGGAGAATTAGGTGCGGCATACTTAGCTTTGAAAATGGCAGTCCATGGGGAACTCCTGCCTGAGATGGGTTCCCATGCAGTTTTAGAAGGAAGGCAACATTTGTACCTCTTAGTTTGCATAATCTAAGACCGTCATGTTTTTTCGGTTAACAAACGATGTCCCAGAATATTGCGTTGAGCTTCCTTTCTCCGATTTTCGCACCCCAAAAGAAATTCTTCCTGATTTTGTCAATCTCGTCGCTGACACCTTTAGGAATAACCTGCGATTGCATCATACATATATAGGAAAAGCAGCAAGCACTGATTGACAAAGAATTAGTATTCTTGTCATACTAATTTTATGAGGATTCCAATTTTTTATTCTTTTCTTTACTTTACAGATTAGGGGGCAAAAGGATTCTTTTTTAATTCTACCATGAATTATTGGGACTCTTAAGTAATTACCAAGACTGTTTACCAACTGGACTTGAAGGAATTGGCTGAAAGACAACGCCAGCTTGATGCCCACGTTCAGTGAGCAAAACATGACGGACTTACTATGGCTGATCATCGGACCTGAAGCTTGACAAAAAAAGGCCTAGGGTATTTTTTGTCATTGATTGATGTTGAGCTAGGTACAAGAATTCAGTTTCAAAATTGTGGTTCAATCTCGTTACTTGTTTCGGAGCTTTGTACATGGTTTGATTTTAGCCCACCACACAAAATACTCATAACTTTACAAATGAGTGTTCAGCAGCCCAGTAAAGTTATCGGGCCAGAGACCGTGTGGTGTAGAATCTTGCACAAGGTTTGCTCCTACTCCGGTGATGAGATTAAACATCTCATTTTAGAAAGGAACGTTTAGGGATTGGTCGTAGAATTTGATGCGAGACTTCCAACACCGGAGTTCGGAATACATGTTGGGAAAAATTTGTCACTTCAAATTATAATGTCCATCAGATTGACAAGAAAATTAACATGTATTTTGTTAAGTAGTGAACACGCGAAAGTAAATTAACGATTTAGACTTCTTTTCCCTCATTATGAAAGAAAAATTAACCGCGCTTTGGTTGAGACAATTGTCAAATTATGGAGTAGTGTTACACGTGCAGAATAATTTCTTAAGCAGCAACATTTCATATACTCCATTCGCCCTAAAATTATAATCTAATTTGAATTTTTATTTTTAAGTACAAATTGAACTAAAAGCGAAAATATAAACTGGACAGTAATTTTGAGTCAGAAGGAGTACTTTTTAAACTAAGCGCTCACCCGCTATTAGAACTTAGAACCGGATGTTCTTATTGCTTTTATGTAACTTAAAATATACAATATTTTTTTAACAAATTTTTGTTACTTTAAGAAAGGGAAAAAAATTGTCAAGATCATCCTGACATGAACCTTCATTCAAATTAATTGTCAACAGTGTAATTTGAAAATCCTTACATATATATATATATATATATATATATATATCGACCATTCAAAAAAAATAAAATAATGATACAACTCATCAAGTATTCATCATTTCCATTACATTGCACAAGAATTTAAAAAAAAAAACAGAGAGATTAAAATAACCTCTTACAGCAAAAATAAATCACGGAAGGAATGTTGGAGGAGTTTATAAATGTTTGAATCGGGTACGTGACTCTGCAAACTAAAGAAGTATTGATAAATCAATGTTGAATCTCTGTCGCTAAAGTAAAAGTAGACAAACAAAAAAAAAGTCTACAAAAACAATGTTTACAAAATGAACATAAAATCACTCCAGGACAATTCAGGATGCCTAAAGCTTGACATTGAACTTGCAAGTACTAGCCTTAATGCTGATGAAGCTATTGGTAGATAAACTGTCCACAATCAATGCACAATTTCCCACAATCCGAACCTTCTTCAACTTGAGGTTTCCGAGCTCAATCCGAACAGGTACATTGATCTTAAGATCCAACGGAATCCTTCCTGTTTGTTGTGCCTCCTGCAGGGCAGACAACAGAGTATTACCATACTGAGATTGACCCGTTAAGGCCACATCGAGCTTTGTCCTGTTCTGGTGCCCTTGATAAAATTTCGGAATCGGCCCTTGACAAAGCTTACTGCTTTTGTACCACACACTCAGCTGGCTCCCTTTCTCATAATAAATCCCAATCTTTTTGTTCGGATTGTAGGCCGTGATCCTTACATTAAACCTGGCGTAAAGACTTAAATCGAAATTGAGTCTCAAATCGGATATCCTGAGGTTGTCTACAGAGTAGTTTGGAATCTTTGGTTGAAACACAATGTAGATAACCGCAACAATGAACCCGAGAATGATGAGCAGAAGGATGAGGAGACTGATTGTCCAACATATGCATCTGCACCAACAGCTTCTCTTCGGTTTTGATGCCCTCCTCAAGTCCATGAATGGAAAGCTAGGAGGATTATTCTGTACATGTACATTGGAAGGCATGGCTGAGCTGGGTTGCCCTTGATTATCTGACTTGAATGATGATCCCTTTGGCACCAAAGGTCTGGTAGGTTGAGGATTCTCTGTTTTATCTTTCAATGGATGAATTTTAGTGTGTTGATCTGCCATTAGAGCTTGCTCACAAAACTCTGCTTCTTTTTTTAACTTTTGGAGCCAGAGGGTCCAGAGACCTATATATATAAATATATATTTACATCTTTTCTAAAGTGTAATTCTGTTATGTGTACAGGAAAGTCAACCTGAATGATATAAAAAATTGTGGGGGCTATCTCAATAATAGAATTGAGAGTTTCTAATTCGCTCACCTAATAACCTAACAACAGCACAGCTTTTTGGTTTAAGAAACTGGTTGGTTAGCTAAAATCATCCGTCCATTTCCTTATGTGGCCAAATGAGATTGTACTTTTGTGTTGGGTTTTGTTCTCGTGTTCAATATTGACCATCAGCTCCGTTTTTATTCTCTAGTACGTCTCTTATATTGATGCTATAGTATTGAGGAAGAGTTGCCCTGAATTTTTAAATACCTAGGATTTTTCTGGGTCCTATTCGGAAAAAGGGATTTTCTGCTAGAGGAGCATATTTTTTGGTAGCTCCGAAATTTGGATTCCCTTTCTTGAATCCTAGTCTTTGGTGAGGATTGCTTTTCAGTTAAATTTCTACCTATTCAGTATGCAATTACCGGAGTAGATTTTCTGAGATTTAAAGGATCATCATCGAAGGGCCACATTAAGGGAGTGAAACTAGCTCAATAAATTACTTTTTGTCTCATTTTACCTCTTAAACACAAAAGCAATGCATTATCCAAACAACTTTTTAATTTACTTTTTAAAATGTTGCGTTTGGTCATTACACTATTGTAAAGTCTTCATTTTGGTCACTAAACTATTGTATGTCTTTATTGCGTTTAGTCACTGAACTATTGTGAAGTCTTGCATTTGGTCATTGAATTATTGTAAATTCTTGCGTTTGGTCACTACACTATTGTAAAGTCTTCATTCTGGTCATTAAACTATTTTAATTTCATAAATAGTCACTATACTATAATACTTTTTCAAATAAAAAACTATACTATATTTTAAATCTCCTCCCAAATTCAAATAAAAAACTAAAACAAAACGTTGTCCAAACAAGCACTTAATTATCCGGGTCATATTTAGCGCAGATACTAACGTATTTCTACACCCAATGGAGCAAGGAAGCTTAAGATGAGTGCGTTAATTGAGTGATAAAAGTCGAAGCAAAGAAAATTTTAAAATTTAAACAGAAGTCGCATGAGGCTTATGCGACATCTGTACAAACATGGCAAACTTGATTATGAAGCAGGTTGCGTCTAAGAATATCAAACCGATAACTACTTATTATAAACCGGCGAAAAATCTACGGAGTAACGGATAGAAACTTGAAAAACCGAGTGATTAAATCCTTGAAAATGGAAATATATTAAAGGAAAAAGGACAAAAACCCCCTTAGTTATGTCCCAAAGACTAATACCATCCCAAATTTTCCTATTAAAAAAATTACCCCCCCTTGACCGCCAGTCAACGGCATAATTGACCCCCCTAGGGCAAAAATGGTAAAAAAAAAAAAAATGTATGTAATGACCAAAATACTCTTTTCACCTAAAATCAATTTTTTTGTGGATAAATTCTACATTTTTCAAAAACCTATTTTGTTCAACAAATTGTCAAAACATTTATTTAAGGATAAGATATTTACCCATTTTTCTTAAAAAACTACCTTTTAAAAAATAATAATAATTTGAGTAAAGACCAATTTATCTATGGTTGAATTTCTTTTTTTTAAAAATGATAGACTTTCAACCATATTCTATTTTAATTTTAACAACAACGAACTAATTCAAAACATGAATAATGTTGAAATCATGCTATTTTTTGGGACAAATTATATCCTTTTCTGAAAACAAAATTCAATCCTAAATAAATTAATTTTTTACTAAAATTAATTATATTCTAAAAAAATTGTTTTTCACAAAAATTGGTGAATGTTGTTATTCCTAAATAAATTCTTCGACGATTTGTTAAGAAAAATAAGCCATTGAAAAAAAAGAAGATAAAATGTGGATCAAAAAATTATTTTTATCTTGTCACCCCGGTCTTGCCTCGGATGGTTTACTTCCCACTGTGGTTTGCAAGCTATTGCAGTGAGCGTGAGTTTATCCATTTCTGGTGGAGTTCCCGGCGTTACCAAAAAATAAAAAAATAAAAATTTTAGACAAGATTGGTATTTTGGTCATTTTGGTTGTCAGAGGGTCAATTATGCAGTTGACTAGTGGTTAAGGGGGCAATTGTCCTTATAGGAAACGTCAGGGTGGTATTAGTCTTTGGGATATAACTCAAAAAATTTTTTCCTTTTCCCTGTATTAAATCTGAAGCAGGCTGCTTGTGAATATGATATCATATGTACAGTATAAGGCAAAATATTTTCATTCATCCCCCAAAGTTCGGTTTCATTCATCCCCCAAAAAAAAATATTTAAAAAAAATGTTCCTTCTATCTCAAAAATATAACCCACTTTATTGAAGTTAAAACAATACAATAAGACAAATGATATTTTTTTTTAAGGATCCGTTTGATAAAACTTAATTTGGGTCTGAAGTCTGAAATCTGAAAACTGAATCATAAGTACTGAATTGATTAAGTTTGTCTTGTTTGATAAAAATCAAAATCTGAAGACTGAATAAAATATCTGAAATATGAAGTCTGAACACTGAAATTAAAATATCTCAACTTATAATTTTATCTTAAAAAATAATTGATATATATATATATGAAACTATGATTATAAAGATAATAATATTATTATAAAATTATGTGATAAAAATATTTAAATTTTATGATGTAATTATTTTTTCAGTTAATAATAATATTACATCTTTATCATTGTCAAAAAAAATCACATCTTTATGATAAATATATTTATAATGGACTTTATTTGTATTTTATTTTTATATTAAAGTAAATATTTTAAATAAAAATAATAAATAAATTTCAATTTATAACTAAACACCAAGATTAATAAAAATATTTCATCATAAAACATCAAAAGTATAAACATAAAAGTAAATAAATAGAAAAAAAAATCATCTCAGAAATTCAGTTCAGACATAAGTGATAGGCCTATCACTTATTTTTAGACCCACATTTGTACTAGCATTTCAGACTCACTTAATTTATTAAGACATCCTAATTTGAGTTATCAAACGTACTTAAAGTTTAAGTCCTTAATTAGTTAAGTTCTTAATCAATTAAGTTGTAATAAAATTGTGTTATCAAACAGTGTCAATCAATTAAGTACTTAATAAATTAAGTTTAAGTGTTGAATTAGTTTATCAAACATGACCTTAATTTTGGATTGGTAGGAACAAGTAGTATTACCTGTTTGATAAACCAATTCAGCATTTAAACTTAATTGATTAAGTACTTAATTGATTGACATTGTTTGATAACATAATTTTATTACAACTTAATCGATTAAGAACTTAACTAATTAAGGACTTAAACTTTAAGTACGTTTGATAACTCAAAGTAGGATGTCTTAATAAATTAAGTGAGTCTGAAATGCTAGTACAAATGTAGGTCTAAAAATAAGTGATAGGCCTATCACTTATGTCTGAACTGAGATGATTTTTTTTTTCTATTTATTTACTTTTATGTTTATACTTTTGATGTTTTATGATGAAATATTTTTATTAATCTTGGTGTTTAGTTATAAATTGAAATTTATTTATTATTTTTATTTAAAATATTTACTTTAATATAAAAATAAAATACAAATAAAGTCCATTATAAATATATTTATCATAAAGATGTGATTTTTTTTGACAATGATAAAGATGTAATATTATTATTAACTGAAAAAATAATTACATAATAAAATTTAAATATTTTTATTACATAATTTTATAATAATATTATTATCTTTATAATCATAGTTTCATATATATATCAATTATTTTTTAAGATAAAATTATAAGTTGAGATATTTTAATTTCAGTGTTCAGACTTCATATTTCAGACATTTTATTCAGTCTTCAGATTTTGATTTTTATCAAACAAGACAAACTTAATCAATTCAGTACTTATGATTTAGTCTTCAGATTTCAGACTTCAGACCCAAATTAAGTTTTATCAAACGGATCCTTAATTTACTAGATGAATAAATAATGCAAAATGACATATCGTAACTGTACAACAATTTATTATTGTATTATTATTATTATCATTGTTTTCGTTTTTTTTTTTTAAAAAAAAGCTTGTTTTATAAACCATATAGCAGTTTTGTTTTCAGGCAACTTGGGTTAAGTACATCGTTAACAAACATACTACAATATAAATCATTATGTGTTTGTCATTTTTTGTTGTTGACCAAACCTGTCAACCTTGTTTCCAAACACATCATCATGATTTAACAGAATTTTTGTTTGATAGTATTAGTACCTTCTTCATCCACCATCCACCTGTTCAGTGACTTTCTCCAGGCTTTCTGACTCCACCAATCAATCATTCAAGCCCGAGATTCCGATCTTCTATAGCTCTTTCCAACTCCCTCGGTTCCTCAGAAGCATTTCGTCCGACTATGGTTAACTTAGACCTGTAATTCTCTTTGCTTGACATACATACAACTAATGGAGTTTGAGCACCACATTCTCTAGCACTTGCACATAAATTAAGCCAATACTACCAATTACTTATCTGAGAATTCCGACGCTTACAAAGGAAAAATTTTCAAAAACAACTTGCACAGAATCAAAGAGATTACAAAGACGTATTTGCCGTTGTTGTAATGATTCTGGTCTCAGGCAAACAAATACTACACCCACCCTTCAACCAGTAGCATCTCACATGATTCAAATCCTACTACTTCTCTACTTCTCTACATAGCTAAAGCCTTAACTTAACACTGAACTGAAAGAGGTACTCCGTCCGCTATCTTGGAATAGAGAATTATTCCCCAGATAGTCCAAAATACAATTACTAGCCCCCACATCACCATTTCATTTCTTCATTCAAGTTCTTCACCTGAAAGAAATTAAACTTTCCTTGTGGATGAATATCGAAACTGAAAAACGGATACAGATAATGATGACAATGTTTTTCAGGTGTATGCAGCAGCAACCTGGAGGCAGAAGCCAAAAACCAACTTAAAACACTTTAAAAAACCAGAAAACAGACCTAACGACTGCCAGA